ATATGAGAAGGTTTGTGAATCATCCTCGTGCACGTTCATATGAAAATATTGCTGCAGTTAGTGAAAGCCTGGCTGCCAATCCAAGAATGTCGATTCGCCGGCGCTCGCAAGTTTTAGGCTTTTCTTATGGCTCCCTTTGGTGCATTTTGTATCGGGATTTACATTTACACCAATATAAAATTCAGAGAACACAAGAGCTAAATCCTAGGGACCATAACCAATTAACCCGAAACGTTGGATCATCTGAAAAACAATATTCGCCAAGTTATTGCCAACATACCGCCCGAATTGTTTGAAAAAGTCATCGAAAATTATCTAAAAAGGATCGACTCTTGCAGAAGGTCTAGGGGCGGCTATTTAAATGATTTTATTTTTCATACTTAATGAAATACTTAATATTTTCTATTGCTAAAGTTAAAATATAATTTTTTTCTAAATTTTTGAGTTTTATTTCATTTTAAAGATGGGAAATTCAAATTGGATCACCCTTTATTAGGATCCTAATCAAAGAAATGGGCAGTTATGTTTAACTCTCCAACTATGTTTGAGTTCTACAAATTACCTATAATTTAATAGGGCTAAAGATTTTCATTCTTTGAGCAGTAACTAATGTTAATAAGTTACTAATTTTTCTGATAATTCTATTAAATGCAGGTCATTATTGCAACATCAATCCCTAAAGATATTCATTACTGTTAATGGGTATCAAGTTGAATCGTACCTTGATAGAGAACGTCTTAAGTTACTAAAAAACCTTTTGACCCTAAACCCTACACCAATGTCCGGTGTCAAAATCAAAGAACGTGCTAACCTATAGTTATTTAAAAACCCATATGTTGATCCCTTCCTGAAACCATTCTTGTAGAAATTTGAAGACCTTAAATATATCACCTGTGAAGGTGTCTGTTCCCACTGACATATAAAACTTCCACCAAAGTTTTAACCCCACCTTATATTGTTTTAAGGTAGAAGTTGAAATAGATGACAGCATAACCTCAATAGTATTGAGTACAGTATCTTTAGGGTCAACGCTGGTTGAATAAAAATCCTACCATCAGGGAAATGTTTCTTGCCAAAGGGTGTTGAGACCTGTCAACAGATAATAAAAGAAAAGGATTCAGGATCGAATTTAATAGGTTCTGAACTCATAAACAGGAGTCTCCAAGATTGAGTAGTCCAAAAGTACACTACTACCACATCTGAGGCGTCATTTATAATTTTCTGTATTACTGATAAGACCAAAGAAAAAGAGATGAAAAAGTTCTAATCAATCTAAGGTGAATGCATCGGTGGCTGTGGCATAAGGGTTTTTCTTCCATGAGACATACCTCATGCACTTAGCATTCGTGGTGCTTGCAAAAAAATTGATTGAAGGTTGTCTAAACTTTCTGTCAGTTGAAACGCCTCATTTTTTAGTTCCCACTCAGTCTCGAAATTGTACTTATATAAGAAGCAAATATGAATACAGGGTCCCTACTATTTCATATGGACAGTATTGCTATTTCTAATTTAATCAATTTTCTATCTGTTACCATTTAAGAGATAGCAATACTGTCCCTATGAAATAGTAGGGACCCCATATACTATGAGCTTCACACTACTGCCATATCGTTCTTACTAAATTATTGAACATGAGGTAGCTTTTTGTTTTTATATGCTATGGCCGTGGTGTTATCTATTCTTAGAAGGACGTTACAATTTTTATCTTGGTTTATAAAAAAACATTTTAAAGCAAAATAGGCAGCCTTGAACTCTAAACAAATTATATGGTAAGATTTGTAATTGTCAGTCCATCTGCCCGAAACTTTCCAGTTCTTATATCCAACCTGATAATGATGTCAAAAGCAAAAGAAGGTCTAGTGATGTATCCATAACTTGGATTGTTTTGAATTCACCACTTAATATCTAACTTAACACTATGGTATAATCATTGTAACCTCATAATCATTTGATCTTTTTAATGTTTCAAATCAGATTTGTTCGAGAATAATCATAATGTAGATCTGATTGCTGGTCATGCAGCTACCAAAATACCTATTAGTCTATAACAATCTCCAATTGAACAGAAATACATCCCTAGGAAAGAATTTAAGAAACCTAAGATCTCCATCCTCTTTTCTTTTTTATCTTTAATTTTGTCGGTTTATAAGCAGGTAGGGTTAGGTTTGGCCCAGAACACTGCGGCCTCTTGGGTCTATTGTATCCCCCTGCTTTCCCTGTATTCAGGTACTGTTTTAATAGTCCTGTGCCTTTGGTAAGTTTTAATAAGTTTTCTAGCAAATATTCCTTGGGCGTTATTTCCGGTTCTAGGACCAAAAGAGTGAGACGCCGTGTAGCAAGAGCTTCACATTAGAATATCATATGTTATGTTTCATCTTCCATGTATAGTCTACACGTGGTGGAATCAATGTGTAATGCCATCACATGAAGGTGTTTCAGGTAGTAGTGTCCCATTAGTAATCCCACAATGGTGGATATCTGAGAACTTGCAAATTGTAGTACCTCATTAGCCATGCGTGGGTTTGGTCCCCTTAGAACGTGCTTACTGATTCTGTGCTCTCTTATCTGTTGCCAGTGAATTGATGTTTTGTGGTTTTCCGCCTGTTCGCTGCCTATCTAGCGGAGGTTTTGCTTATCCCATATACAGGTTCGGGTTCTGTGAATGGTAGTTCTGATCCCTCTTTGACGAGTTTATTAGCCTTTTCATTTCCTTGGATACCTTCGTGCCCTAATACCCACGCTAGTTGTACCTTATTGTGGGTTACCATATTATTTAGTACTCCAAGGCAGTTCCAGGTTAACTTTTACTTGATTATGTTTGAATCAAGGGCTTTTAAGACTGCTTGGCTATCTGAGAGAATTAAGATGGTTATTTTTTTGTACTTCTTAAATTCTTTCGTACATACAATTCAAATGCATGTAGTTCAGCCTGAAATACAGTGGTATGTTTTCCTAGTGAGACTATGTCGCATTTGGGTTTAACTCCATATACGCTAGAGCCTGTCCCTTAGTTAGTTTTAGATTCATCCGTATATCAAACGAGACTGCTAAGCAGTTGCAGTTGACCTGGAAGATATGTTCAAGGTTAGGCGGGGTGTCATATGATCTGATCCCATGTTTAATATAGGATAATTTACTTCATGTGTTATTCTGGTATGTTTTATATGTCCCAGTGGGTTCCAGTTGTTGGAGATGTCCAGCCTGTATGTTCTCATTCTGGCCTTCCTCTTCATGACTAGGTCAAGGGGTGGGAATTATTTCCATAGAGGCTGTCGATGTACTTTTCAGTCTCCTGTAATACAAAAGAATGTCAGCCTTTGTACTCCTAAGAGAGTATTGAGGGCTGTTTTCTGGTTTACTTTTGGCCATCAAACAATCGCTCCATAAGTTATCATGAGTCTTGTTATTGCCGATTATAGCCAATGGAACATTTTCGGTTTTAATCCTCATGTTTCCCAAATGCCCTTCTCCCTACAATGAGTCATTTTACATTTGTTGGTCACTTTTTGTGTTAGTTCCAAGTAAATTTGCTATCTAGGATTAGATCCAGATATTTTACTTGGTTCGTTCTGTTTAGCCTTCCTCCAAACAGAATCGAAATTTCTAAGATCTCCAACCTTGTTTTCCGAGTAAACGTTATGAGTTGTGCCTTGCCAGGATTTACCAAGAGGTTTTCCCTGACGCACCATATTTCTGTCAGCCTTAAAGCTCTTTGAATGAGTTTAAAGTCTGTGTTTTGGCGTTTTCCTCGGATAGGGATTACTATGTCATCAGCTGTATCCTTGGGCGTACAGCCCTTGATTGTTCAGTGTTATCAGCAGTTCATCTTCCACTGGTTTCCACAGTAGATGGGAAAGGACTTATACCCCGTGGGATATCCCTTGTGCCTGTACTTGTCAGCCGCGTAACATACAAACATCAGCAGATGGTGTCTTCTATTCTAGGTTTGCGAGCGGCAGTTACCTTTGATTTAAAGGATGTATTATCAAAAGCTCCTCCTATGTCAAGTCTTGGCTAGTGAGTCCCCCCTCTATCTTGGTACACAAGATGATTCAGAGCAGACTCACAAGATTTTCCAGATTGATAGGCATGTTGGTTTGTATGAAATGGAGTCTCTATCAGAATGGTTTGCCGGATATGCTGATCCATCGGTTTTCCCAATCCTTTAAATAGAAACGTCATCAGAGTTATTGGTCTGTAGGCCTTTGCCAAGGCATATGTTGGACGTTCTTGTTTAGGTATAAAAACTACTCTGCTTTGTTTCCAGGTATTTGGTACATGTTTACGGACCAAACTTGCTCTGTAGAGCCTACAAATATCTGGTGCCAGTGACTTTTCTTCAGTTAGAGATATTGGCATTATATAGTTTCAAATTAAAATTAAACCCTAAGAAATTTTATGCTAGTGGATAGGCTGAGAGGTTACTCTTCTACGTTTACTTATCATCTGAAGAAAGAAGCGTAGCGTATAATTAAAAAAAAAAAAAATTGTGCATTCACGAAAAGTTCAAATATCAACCAGTTTTAATATGTATAAGTTTGTGTAAGATGTTTCACATACCTATATTAATGTCGATTATATTACTGTAAATTCTGACTTTTTATCAAGAATAAAATAAAGAAATTTCCACCTATAGTGAACCTTATCCATGCAAACACTGTATACATACAAAAAATATTAACAGTAGCCTAGTAAATCCACGTAGGCAATGTCAGACGTGGATTTTTTTATCATACAATATTCAAAGTATAAATTCACTAAAAATATACAAGGTAGCTGAAAATAGACTTCATTCTAAGTCTAAAAAAAAAACAAAAGTGGTAGGTTGATTCGTAATAAGGAAATCTGGTTTAACCCGATTTGAATACCTTCTAAAACTAGATAATTAAACAAATAGATAATTTTAAAACATGAATTTGTATTTTCCTGCTCGAAAACCGTATTTGTTGACACGCAAACGATTTATAAAAAAAAAAAATCAAACCTATTTTTCTCGCTAGATCTGGTAAATCGAAAGAGAAGAAAAAGAAAAAGAAATCCAAGCAAGATGATTCGTCTGCTGAGTCGGCATCCGAAGACGACACAGACGACGATTCTAGTAGCGAAGATGACAGAAAAAAGAAGAAGAGCAGAAAAAAGGAGGTTAGTTGAAAGCCAGTTTTTATGTTAAGGTGCTAAAGTCGCTGTCGATAAGTGTTCTTCTGGATAGGAGAATCAAATAGACTGCTTATTAATTTTTATTTGACATTTAGTAGATATGGTTCTGTTATTATTCAGGGTGATTTTATGCAAAAAATTATTCACAAAAAATTATATTACCCATTCCGAATTGTATCATTTCCACCTTACATTGTTCTTCTATAGATTGCAATAGATAAAATCATCCTGCATATTGAAATAGTTCATCAAAAATTCTTAGTTCGAAAAGCAGTTCTGTAAATTTGAAAATATCTTTTGTTGGAACAATTTCAAGATTTTTCGTTTTTATTTTCTGTTCATTTATTTATGCATGTGTGCAAGTTTTTCGTTAAAAAGTAAAAATTGTTCTTTTTGAACCTGCGTCACATTACTAGGACATAGCCCCCACGCCAAGTGAGGGTACTATCCGATTTTAGTAAGTATATTATTATTTGGGGACTCAAAAATTATAGTAAGTTTGTTCGAAAATATGTTTTTAACATAAAAAAAAACTGGCGTACTATAACAGTTTTCGTTTTGTTAAAAATTTGTTTTCACGAACGTATATAGCAAAAACGATTGCATGCTATTGTATTTTAAAATAAACATACTTTTTTTATACTTATATTTTTTTATTTTTGATAAAAAAAATAGATATAGAAGCATTCTTTTGTACAGCTCATTCGAAGACACAATATTTTTCTAACAAATTTTGTAGACTATCTCTAGCACTTGTGTGTTTTTTTTTTAATTTATCGTCAATGATGTATTTATAAGAATTTTTTTTATTCGCAGAAGAAAAAGCCAGTTAAAAAGAGAAGACATTCATCTACCGAAAGCTCTAGAGAAAGGTAAGAGCAATTTTTTTTATTATATTGAAATACATGTAGGTATACAAGGTGGTGTACCATATTGAACCATTAAAACATACTGATGAAAACACTACTGAATTATAATTATCAGTACACAATAAAATCGTGATTCATAAGGAGCATCGAAAAAATAGATAAAAACAGACTAACTAGCTTAACTTTATACACAAGTCCAGGTCCGGATTTAGTTTTTTTTAATTCTGTATCCTTTTTTTAAGTTTTTGAAAAAAGTATTTGAAAAAGATGTTCATTTTAACGACTTCTTCACACAGTTTAAAAAGAGGTATTAATTTAGGATTAACTCTATATCGAATATCCCTAACCGTCATTGCAAGAATGCAGCATACTTTGGGTGGCAATACAAACTTAATTTTTTTTTTAACCAAAAGTCTTAAAAAATAATGTATGTACATGTATATCTTATCAGTTGGCGATAAAGCCATTTTTTACGCATCTAATTTTTAAATGATATATTAGGGACAGAAAACAAAACAGCATATTAAATATGTTATTTTAATTTCAGCTCGCCTGACGTGAAACGATCTAAAAAAGAATCCAGACATGACAGATCTCACAGTAGAAATCGGAAAACAGAGCCCACTGAGAGATACTCAAACACGAAACGAGATAAGTCACTATCTCCTAAATCCTCGAAAAAATCAAAATCTAGAAGACAATCTCCAGATGCAGAAAAATCAAACAAGCACGAAGAAACATCGCGAAAGTCGAGATCAACAGAAAAAAGAAGAAGGTCTAGATCTGCGGAAAAAAGAAGACGATCCAGATCTTTGTCGAGATCGATAGAGAGACGTCCTTCACCTGTGGTATCAAAGAAAAAATCTAGATCTGTAGAAAGGAGAAGGAAGTCGAGATCAAAGTCTTACGAATCTAAAAGGAAATCCAAACGATCTAGATCGAGATCCTACGACTCTAAGCACAAGTCCAAACGATCCAGATCTAGGTCTAAACGCATCGAGAGGTCTAGAAGTAGGTCTACTTCTGTTACTAGAACACGAAAATCCAGATCAGATTCTACAGATAAATACCGTAAACGAAAATCTAGTGTTGAATCTGTAGACAAACGAAAAAGAAAGGACAGGTCCGAATCCGCAGAGATTAGTAGAAAAAGAAATTATTCTGTAGAAAAAGACAAGAAAACAAGGCACAGGTCTAAAGATAGAAAAGATGCGAATAGATCAGACTCCGAAGATGACGATTTAGCAAAGAAACGAATGCAAAGATATGAAAAAGAATATGAAGAGCTATCTAAAAAATTGAAATCAGAATCATTAGATTTTAAAGAGAAACTAAAAAGGGATAAGATAGTCTCTAAAGATTTAGAAAGAAGACGAGACAGATCGGTTTCTAAAGAAAAACGCATTAAATCTGATTCAAGAGAAATGAGAAAGGAGAGATCACACTCTAAAGATAGAAGAAAAGGTAGATCAGACTCAAAGGAAATTAGAAAGGACGGATCAGCATCTAAAGACAATAAAAGACGAAATAAATCTGTATCTGTGGAAAGTTACTCAAAAAAATCTCGATCCAAAACTCGTAGATCACCTTCCGAGGAAAAGATAGAAAAAACGTCAAGAAAATCTAGGAGATCTACGTCTGATCCGCGAAGTAGCAGATCACGCTCAATAGAACCCAAGAAATTAAAAAAGACTGACAAATACGGCAAGAGAAGTTCGTCCAGTTCGAGAAGCAGATCGCCCAAGGTTAGTAGAAGTAGAAAAAGTCCTAGTCCGAAAAAACGTAGCCCGTCGCCTAAATATAGACATTCCCCAAAAATATCTAAAGACTACAAAAACGAAATACGACTGAAACAACAGATACTAGCTTTATTAAATCCAGATAGAGCCAAAGAATTTAAAAATGAGGAACCTAAAAAAGTTTTGAACGATGACAGACCCGCATATTCTAAATCAGATAAACAGAAGTCTAGAAGTCGTACAAGAGAAAGAAGCGAAGAAAAGAAACCAAAACGTAATGAACCTCCTAAAAAGAGATCTCCATCTCCGAAAAATACCTTTAAGCAGTCTTCTACTCCGGAAATGGTGAAGGAAAAACCCAAGAAAAAACCCGTCGACAAGAAATCTAAAAAACCGCAACCGGTCGTACGACTAAGAGCCTCTTCAAGCGAAGGCGATCCCTCCAATAGCGAACCAGAAAAAGAAGAAGAGGTGGACGATAAAGAAATACGAATTCTGCGATTATTGAAATCCGATTTAGCAGCTAAGGCTAAGGAGAGCCTGGAGAGGAAAAAAGAAAAACCGCCGAGTCCCAAACCGATCGTTAAGAGGCACATAGAACCAGACTTCTTCGATATTAAAGTGTTGCCATTGAGGAACGGTAATAAAGAAAGTTCCCCTCCGATAAACAAAGACGAATTTGATATTAAAAGAACGCGAGTCGAAAGCAAATCTAGGTCGAGAAGTAAGAGTTCGTTGTCTAGGGAAAGGAAGACCAAGTCCAAATCGAGGTCTAGAAGTTCTTCGAGGTCGACAAGAAGGTAAGTTGGAATTAGTTATTTATTTCGCTCATGTTGTTATGGCCTAATTCGACCTTAGATTTCCTTAACCTGTCTATATGCACCCTCTCTGTTCACCGCTGTTCAAGGAAGAAGAAACTATATTGGGTACTCCCAGCTATCGACCGGAGTCTTTCGGTTTATATTTACAATTATAGTGTACAATATACGTTTTTTTTTACAATAATATGTTTTTAAAGGTCATGCACAAGGGTCGTGGGTTTGACATTAGGATAAAATAACTCAAGTACTTGGAAATTAGATTGGACACCACGACATTTAAAGCATGTATATAAATTTTAAAACAATTAAGACACAAAACGAGAAAACTCATTACTAAACGGTATTAAACGATCCTAATTTACTATACTCTATTTTTAAACTAGGAGAAGCGAATTGAAAAGGCGCATTTACACAGGGGAAAGTAACTAGATTCGTTACTAAGAGCATGTTCCGAAATATAGTCGTGTTCAAAATTTATGAAATAGTTGTTTTTATCGGCCCTAGTCGGCAAACGGCCAGTAAGGGGTTAACGAACAAATAAATGCATTATCGCTAAACATACATAAAAAATTAAGAGTTTGAGGATTTTCTCACGGACCCAATTATTATATTTTGACCAAATTTATATGGGACCACCCCCGAAGTACCCCCTTTCTAATAAAAAAATATTATTGAAATCGGACACCGTGTTGAAGAATTATCGCTGAACATACATAAAAAAAAAATATCGCGACGAATTGAGAACCTCCTCCTTTTTTGAAGTCTGTTAAAAAACTAAGTAATAATAATGAGTTATCAAAATATAAAATGTCAACTGTCAACAATATCAATTATTAGCTGATGTTAATACTAAAAAGTAATGTGTGAAACTGACTGCAATCTGACCAATCAGAGTCTACAGAATTGCCAACTTAAATTCAAATCGCTCCTCCTAGTTTAAAAACAGTATAGTTTTAAAATTTGTACATTTTAGCTTGAAGTTACATACAAGAAAAAATATGTAAACTTATCTCTTTTTATAAATACTTTCTTCAAAGGTATAGTTCAAAACTAGCTCTCTCATCGACAATCTTTTATCCCACGACATCGGATCAATAGGTCAGATGACTTTCTTCAAGTGGATGGCAAGTAGTTCTGTTTATCGAAGATGTTCTATTGAATCTCCAACATTTTAAACCATCTTAAAACTGCCGAGCTAAAATGGCAAATAGAAAGGAATGAGCTAAACCGTTTCAATTTTTTTTTAAACTGATTTTACATAAATTAAATGTAGGTATTTTTAATTAACTGAAAGCGTATTATCCCATATAAAAAAAAAATAAATCTCAGTGTACTCATTGTATGAAAGACCTTAAACGGCTTTGAAGAATTAAAATGAAATTAATTAACAGCGGATGATTCTGAAATTCAAGGTTTCAAGTGAAAATGTCCAAAATGGTTATAGGTCGACAGAACACAGAATTGTCACACCAAAAAAAGAGAAGAGAGAAAAATAACGGTACCATAGATATATCGTTACATGTGTAGTCCATTGCAAGATAATCTAGAAAGCTCAAAGATCTGGCAACCTCTTGAATCGTTCGCAACATGCTGATCAGAGCCGGCCTAGGTTGAGTTTTATTTGTTCAAATGTTAAAGATAATTTTTAAAATTTGATTTCTACAAAGATCCTTTTTCGGTCTAAATTGCATTGAAAAAATATAACATTCATTTCAAAAATATTTTTTTACAATATGTACATAGGATTTTTAATAACATTTAAAATACATAAAAAATATAACGCGCTGAGAACTTGTATTAAAAGGTTTTATTTTCAAACACAACATGTTCAACTAAAAAATATATTATATTGAAAATTGAAACTGACTAAAATTATTAAGTATTAATTTAAAAATAATTTGTTTCACTAGATTTATTTTGTGGAAATGTAGGTAAACGAATTTAAAAATGTCTATATTTCTAAATCACTTTCACAGTCACTAATTTCATGTTCTGAAATAATATCACTATCATCATCAGTATCATTCAAATTTATTTTAATTTTTTGAATTGTATTGTTAAATCTCATATATTTCTCTTCGATTTTTTTAACATGTTGAATAGCGTTTTTCCAGTTTTCAACAGTTATACGGTTAAATGCATTTCTTACTAACTACATCAATTACAGAAGAAGTGGACTTAGGAGAAGAGTTATTTACTCGAGAATAATTTTTTAACTGTGACCATAATAATTCTATGGGGTTCAAAATACAGTGGTAGGGTGGTAAACGTAAAACTTTAAATCCGTGTTTTATTGCTATTGTGTCGATAACATATTCAGGTTGAAAATCAACCAAGTGTAAAAGTTCTGTTAACTGTTTTTTGTGTAGTTTTCTTCAAAAAAATATATCATTCTCCATCAGAAAGTCCTGAATCACTGATTTCGTAGAATTGGTATTTGGTTTTTTTTTCGTACCAACCGAGAATGGTACGGGGTATTATCTAAAACTATTACGCTATTTTCATTTAGTTTTGGTAGTAATGTACTATTAAACCATTTTTCAAAAAGAGTATTTTCTATGTTCTGGTGGTAGTCCAAACTACTATCCCGTACATCCTTTGCAAACAGCAAGAGAGCTCCTTCTACCCAACCTGATTCTCCACCACAATGTAAAATGCATATTCTTTTTCCTCGAGATGGAGGAGTGTCTACATTACATTTTAAACTTCCATCAGTCCAACATTTTTTTATGATGTCATGAGTGTCGAACCAGGTTTCATCTAAAAAATGAATGTTTCTGCTCGTCGATACTTTGTAATAAATCGAGATATTCTATTCTCCATTTAACTAAACGGTTGGATTCCATAATTGTTTGTCTTTTATTAAGGTTTTATGGCAGTCTTCTATTAACGTTTTTTGTTTTAGACGTAAAAATAACGCATTCAAAGTAGGAAAATTATTTACAGAGAACATTTCATAAATTGTTTCCCTAATCGGTTCTAAAAGAAACTGGAATGGAACGAGATGAACCAGAATCTTATCGCACCTTTCTATGTTTCTTTGTACACAGTTGACTGTGGTACTTTTGTCAAAAACAGTCTCTTTTAGGACTTCGGAGACAGACAATTCATTTTTTAGACCTGTAAATAAGACTCGGTGTTAAAATCCAATATATTTTGAAAATTGACATTTTTATAGATTTTGACGTGTTGTTTTCGATTTTTCTACCTTGAGGCCTCGTATCTCCGTGTTATTCCATAAAAAAATTAATGTCTTCCTAATTGACTTCTGACAGTTGACCAATGGAGTACTAAGATATTTTAAAATAATGTTGATAAATCTTCAGAAGTAAACTGGATGAAATAAACTATAAAATACGAGATATAATGATGGATCGAGTGAAGCACCGGCACTCTCACTATCGCTAATATCTCAGTTATACTTCCACCTAGCCTTCTGACGATTTGCAAGTAATTTTATTTTGAATTACAAAATAAGAAAACAAATTGTAAGAAATGTACCTAGTGACATCATTGTTGCTAAATTTTTCGCAACATGAGCGCCTTCTGACGACTTTTTCTCTTCCACCTAGACTTCTGACATTTTTTTCCTACTTTCTTATACTATCTCCGATAATACTGCAAATTTTTAGAGCTGTACTATATCACCTATTTTGCTTAAAAAAAAATGCTATGTTGGTAACAATCGAAACTGTAAATAACAAAATTTTGACTTTACCGAGTCTTTGTGTCGCCAGCTCTCCGTCTAATAATGTTACATGCACAAAATGTTTTTTCCCCGGCTTTTTTTCAAAGCTTTTTTTCATGGATTCATATTATGGGAATAATTATTATAATTACCAGAATAAACGTTAGAACTATTTCCTTGGCATCACTACAAAGGTGACAACGCTTCTGTTTTCCCGTTGCCTGTTTGTACAAATTTATTTCGGAAGAACACTGTTGAACATTAACTACCTCACTCATTTTAACTATATAGTACCGAAACCTCGACCAAATCGCATAAACTTTGAAGCTAAACTAAAGTGATGAGGTAAATTCCACACCAATATTACCCAGGGCCGAATGCTCCTGTGTTCAGTTTTCGTCTGCCATGCGCATGACGTCACTCATAGCCTGACTCTCATTAGGGAGAGGGGAGTGCTTATTTTCTCTGTAACGTAGCTACAACAAAATGTTTAATACAAAAGATGTTTATTAAGATTCGGATCCGAAAAATATTAAAAAATATAAAATGACTTAATTTCATGTATCTTTACGCGTTACTTTCTCTGTAAAATTGATATCTGGTATTTTTGACACGAATCTTGCGGGAAAGATTTTTTATATTAACTTTATCTTTCCTCTTGCTAAGATGCAACCACTTGTTGCTAAGGTTAGGGTTCTTAGGAAAACTAAAAAATCTTACAAACATTCTTACGAAATATTAATATTATCATGTTTGTTCCCTAAACAGAAAACATTAATTTTTAAAGTCTATTTGGGAGCACCGTCCCTGTTCCGGCTAATTCACAACTTTCCTTCATGTTTAAATCAAGACGATTTTTTACTATAAATTGCAACAGGCTATATACAAGTGTGTAGTTACTCTTTTCTTGACGAATGTGAATGTTGTCGCACTAACCGTAGACGAGTCAAAAAAGGGACTTTTACACACGAGTTGTATACAATATTTTTTCTACTACCTTACACATTATCCACTAATATTAGAAATATAAAAGTTACTTTTTTTCACTAGTGCGTAAAGTACTTATAATTAAAATAAAAAACTGTTGATAATTAATATAAATAGATATAAGCACAAATAATTTACTTATTTGCCTTAGGAGATAAAAATGGTAATATAAAATAAAACGTTATATTTTGTTGCTGTATACAATTTTTGTCAAATTTTACTTTTTTTCACTAGTACGTAAAAAGTTTTACTTTACGCACTAGTGAAAAGAAAAACAATTAATATACATAAAAAATTTGCAAAACTTAATCTTCTTAGGTTATCAGTCTTTGGATGTATTCAAAAATGGTATTTGAGCTGAGGCTAATGACGTTTCTAGTCTGTTAACAATAATTGGATTGTTAGAAGGTTTCTAAGTAAGACGTTGGATTCTTTTTATTATAGCTTCAGGTGTATTTTCACATATAAAAGTCTATTTGGAGGGTTATGTAGCAGATTATTATGATGTCTTATTTTAGTAATGTAGTAATGGTTCTTACGTTCTTTCTGCTACCTCAATATTATTCCAGGTGTTTTATCTGAATATTTGGAATAAGGCAAGCATAGTCGATTAGTGGTCTGCCTATCTATATAAGCAAAATACTACTGACTGACTCATTACGAAATCTCCAAAATTCTTTAGATTCAGCTATATGCACACGTAAATTATTTGATAAATCACTCTCAAAGTCAACATCAAAAGTTGATGAATTACTGTAAGAATTTTTAAAGTAACTAGCAAATCCATTTACAATATCCTGCATGTTTGAAAGATTTAAATCATCATAAGTCATAAATTCAGGTATTTCACTATCTTTCCTTTTACAATTTACGCATGACCAAAAGTTCCCACTACTTATTTTTATATTCTCTTATAATGTTCTAATGTAGTCTTTATGTGCTTTCTCTATATAAAGGATGTTATTTTCTTTTTTAGAATATTAGCTATTGTAAGTTATTGCAATTATAACCAAATTAGAGCCTCTAGTTTTCTTTATATCTTTTTTTTATTAAATTATTCTACTTTTTTCTCAAGTACTCAATATTAAACTGGATTTTGCTTTTTTGTTTTCCTTAATATATTAGTTATTGAGAGGAAGTCAAGGTGTTTTAGAAAAAAATTCCTTAAATTGACAAAAAAAAAAACATAAAAATGTACGAATTGATTTAATTAATGAAACAACAATAACAATAAATAACAAAAAATATAAAAATAAAATTAAAAGTAAATAGAGAATTAGTATCTGTTGTTTCCACCCCTGCTGCGAATGACCTCCCGACATCTTTCATTCATACTTAAAATTAAGTTTCTTATTACGTTCTGATCTAAGCCATTCCATAATTCGACCTGACGTTCGCCCAATTCTTGGAAAATTTGGGAGTTGCCCTTCGTAACCGCCGACCAATAATATCCCAAACATGTTCAATGTGATTTAGGTCAGGGCTACGGGCTGGCAATTTTATGTAATTTATTCCTACTTTTGCAAGATAATTTCTTACGATAAGACATGTGTTAGGACATGTGCATAATAGACCGTCAGATAGTGATAGGTTTAGTTGCCTCATTTTCACATACAAGGATTCAAAAGTACATCGATTTTGACTAGAATGAAAGGAAATTTAAGAATGCATCGTTTTTACATTCACTTTATCTGTGTCACATTTATTTAAATTGTATCCCCGCCGTGCATTTTTGATAATTTCGTTTATTTTTGCAGTTCCAAAGGTAGAAGGAGCAGATCGTCGTCTTCAGAATCGAGTAAATCACGTTCAAGATCGAGGTCTTATTCTAGGTCGAGAAGTAGGTCTAGTTCGTCCAGCGTATCATCATCTAGTTCTGCTACTACAAGGTCTAGATCTCCTTCTATTCCTAGGAGACATGGATCTCCTAGTTTTTTAGATAGAAGGAGGATAACAAGGTTGGTTTGACTTAAAATTCAGATATTTTTAATTTTTTTCTTTGTTTTACTTTAAAAATTGACAAATGACAATGACTTTATGAGTTGACAACTGAAAGATGACAAAAGAAAATTAAGTAGTTTATTATTTATTTTATTTTGCTGATTTGTATTTTTTTCTTTCTTTTTTATTTCAGACACAAGTAGTTTTGGAGTTTTCACGCAATTTTGTTCAATCTATATTTATTGGTGAATTAAGAATATATAAAAAAAACGTTTTATAGATTTTTTTTAATTCAGTAGTAGTTATTAAATAAATGTTGTTAATTTTATTTCTTTTAGTTTTATTTTACTTATTTATTTTTTGTTCTTTTTTTTGTGCTAAGTAGAAAAGGTAAGTTGCATGAATATATTTAAACGCTTTGTATGTTGGAGTGCTTTTATGTTACACACCGGGTGTCGCAATTTCATATCTAACTCAACTAAAATACTAATATCAAATATTAACAATTTTTTCTGAAATTTTGACACCTAATTTCGCCATATTCCCAACCCTACTAACAAAACTAACTTCCTCCATAACTAACAGTGCAAGAAAACGACCTATACCATATACAAGAGCCTCGCCAACATCTCCATCATCGGTAAGCAGCTGTAGCAGTAGGAGTCCCTTCGATAGACTAAGATCGACCAGTAGATCTCTCAGCAGAAGATCATCCAGATCGAAAACAAGATCGGTATCGCCTGAGGTAAGGGCTTCGAAATCGCCCTAGCAGTTAATAGAACATTTTGAAGGGGTCGTTAAGGAAGTGCAATAATTTATTTTTCTGATACTCGTATGATATTCAAAAGGGTGCATTTTTGGGGATGAACAATATTCATTTTTATAGAAAATCGTAATTTATCTACAATACAAAAATAAAGGGGAAAAATAGAGAATGTGACACAGAAAACGTCCAGACCTTGTGTCAGATCGGTAGTTCTGATTTTTTTACTGAGATGTTTTTGATGTTGATTCAATGAATTAACCAAATTTTCGGTCATGAGCGCCGGACGCAACTTTGTCAAAAATAAAAACTCAATTTTCTGCCTTCCTTCAGTTTTTGGCGATTTTAACCCAGAATTACTAGTTTTCGATCGTAACTACCCTGCACGCCTTCAAAGTAGTTTAAATTTGCTGCAATTTAAGCCCAGAACCGTCGCTGTAGACCCAATAGTTTCCAAAATACAGGTTTTCAAAATTTATCAATTACTCCTGTTTGGTCCCAAAGTCTTTGGTCCCAAATACTTAGTTTTAGTTGTTATTTATTTTATTCCCTTATAGACTCCTTACTGTTTACTTGGTTACACTTTCTATATATAATAAAAAACATAGTAAAAAAAAATCTGATGTGTCCAACACATGACTTTCCTATCTAGTTATTACATGCTTTTTCCGATTATTTTGTACAACCTATTGCAGCACCTCCATAAATGTTTAGAGGATAAAATAAATATATACATTTTCCACATACATCTACCTCGAAACATTTTTCTATAGATATTCATTGAAAATGAAAATACTGAAAAATTTAAATTTAGCACTTTTCCTACAATTTTTCCATTACGGTCCATTTTAGAAAAATAATATATAAACAAAATTTATAGAGATCGATATCGCAAACAACTTTTATTTCAACAATTTTCATAAAAATCAGAATTTTGCACATTTTGTCAAATTTCTCGAATACGGACCATTTCAGGAAATTTTGACATAAAGCAAAAATTATAGATGATAATAATATTAGAAATAACTTTTATTTGAACATTTTTTTTCTCCAAACATAAATAACAGATATATTCCATAAAATATAAAAATGGCCCCCCATAAAGTACCCCGCAAATGTTCCGACTTTGTCCAAAATCTAATCATTTCACTTGAGGCCGAAATAAAACTTAAGTTTAAAATTTAATCTTTTTTTCTTCATCGGTTTTTGAGTTTTCTTCAAATTTCGAAATTTACACATTTTCTCAAATATCTCGAATACGATCCATTTTAGAGAAATTATGTAAAGGATAAAAATTATATAGAATTATATTACAAACAACTTTTGTTTGAACAATTTTTATAAAAAAATATTTTTTTACATTTTGTCAAATTTCTCGAATACGGACCATTTTAGGAAAATTTTGTATAGAACAAAAATTTTAGATAATATAAGAAGTAACTTTTATTTGAAGAATTTTCTTCCACAAACGTAAATAACAGATATATTCCATAAAATATAAAAATGACCACCTATAAAGTACCCCCCCCAGATGTTCCGACACTGCCCAAAATCTTATCAGCTGAAACAAAGCTTAAGTTTGAAATTTGGTGTTTTTATGTGTATCGGTTCATGAGTTATGCGACACACAGACATCATCGCGAAAATAGTCAAAACGGATTCAGGGGACCTCAAAACGTAAAAATCCATCGAAAACTCGAGGTCGAAAAAAATCATGATTCCTATACTTTCCTTATATCTGTATACAGATAGGAAAGTAAAAAGATGTCACACAAAAGTCATTGAAACATCACATCTAATAAAAAGTAATTTCACGCATTCCATTGCATTTTTAAACAATTTATTTAAACTTTTAAGATCTGTTGATTTGTTCACGTTTGTAAATATATGTTTGGAAGAAATCTGGGTCCGTCGTTTTTTCATAAATCAATATCTAACTCTACCTGTGCTACAGTCACTAAACCCCAAGTGTGCGAGTGCTACCCGTTTAACTCCAACCATGGAAATTTTTTACAATAATTTTTTCTGTGGGTATTTCGACCTTGTAGGCTTATTTTCTTCGGGATATGCCCCCTCTCCCGTATTCTAATGGATTCTGTACCTTCTACATTTTTGATATTTCTTATTACTAGATCTTTTTTGTGTCACATTGTCGTGGCTTTGTCTAAACGTTTCATAAACCTCTTCCATCCATAAACCAACCGGTTATCAATGGGGCATTTACAGACATTTCAACAGCGCCGAATGGGAGCTGGTCTAATTTTAAGTTTTCGCTTAAAATTCAATTATGCTGGTTTATTTTATTTATATTCTTTAAATCATAATAAACTAAGAGGTCATCAATTTAAATAAAAAAAAAAAAAAAAACTATCGGAATAAATGCAGACAATATTTTTTAACTGGATGTTTGAAGTATGGCACAGCTTGTCCAATGATGTTTGAAACTTTGTATTTAAAAATAGATTAGATCTTTTTATGGACAATTATTTTCAAATTATATTTACGTAAGTTGGCGACATGGAAAACTTTTTTAATTTTAGGAAAAAAAGTTGTTCAAAAAAAGTTTTGCATGGTCTAAAACCTAAAATGCAACCATGTTGTATCAAATTTTATCAGTCGTATACGAGGTTTGTCAAAAAGAAATACTCTTTGCCAAATTCATATTTTTTGACAAACCTCGTATACAACTTAAAAAAATTGATATCAAATAGTTGCATATTGCACCACTTTTTATGAACAATAAGCTTTTTCTAAAATTAATATTTTTTTTGTATGCCGCTGTGTCTACGTCATATTAAAGTAAAAAATTATTCATTTGAGGAAAAAAGTTATGCGTCTAAAACATAAATAGCATTCATCCGATATCAAATTTTATCAGTCTATACCTACTAGGTTTGTCAAAAATAAAAGTACTTTACTCTTGAGCAAAATCGTATTTTCTGACAAACCTCGTATACGACTGATAAAATTTGATATCAGATGGTTGCATTTTGCGGTTTAGACCATGCACCACTTTTTATAAATAATAACTTTTTTTTCTAAAATTAATATTTTTTTTTAAATTATTCATTATAGGAAAAAAGTTATTCTTCATAAAAATGTATGCGTCTAAAACTTAAAATGTAATCATCTAATATCAAATTTTATTAGTCTATACCTACTAGAGGTTTGTCAAAAATAAAAGTACTCTACTATTGAGAAAAATCATATTTTTTGACAAACCTCGTATACGACTGATAAAATTTGATAGCATATGTGCATTTTAGGTTCTAGACCAGCCATACTTAACCTGCGGCCCCCCAAGCTGTTTTGTGCGGCCCTCCAAGCTTTTTTGTGCAGTCTCAAACACAATTATTAGTAATTGTAATGGTTGACCTACAGTCCTGTCCTTTTGCGACTTTTCAAAGCGTATTAAAACAACTAAAACAGCATGAGGATCTTCTTTCTTTAATATTTAAAGCAGATCCCTATCAAATTGACAAATAGGACGCCAGATGCATACTACTCAGGTGGTCTAATGGTCAGTACATTGGAACGCCAATATAGAGGATGCGGAGCAAAAATTTTAAATTTTTTCTGTGGTTTGTTATCCCCCCTCCCCACCGTTCTCTTAATTATTGATAAATTTAATTTCTGGAATCGACATAAAGTACATTTTGACCTATTCAAAGGGCCCAGTTAAGGATCGTCGGTTTTTCCACTTGAAACACCTACGTGAGGGATGGGAATCTACCTCTAGTGCAGTGTCTGGCACATTGTCTCATGAGACCTTGCTGCAGTGGCTGCATACTAAAAACAGTTTAGCCATGTCTTCCTGCAGAGAAAGTGTAGGGAGAGATAGTGCTTGGTCATTTAACCTGCAGTTGTCTATAAATCGAACAATAAAGATGATTCGAGGTTCTTTCCAGATAGCTATTATAATGAGGTTTTTCTACCAAAGAAAATAGGCCGGTTACTGAACTAATTTGAAATCTTCCATTTTCCTCTTTTTATCTATTTTATTCGGCATCTTTTACATCTTCTAATTCAAATTGTCAGATTCCCACAGAACAATAAAATATTGCTAAAAGATGTTAAGTCCGAAAAAAAAACAAATTTTGAAAACCTGTATTTCGGAAATTATTTGGTCTGCAGTGACGATTCTGAACTCAAATTGTAGCAAATTTAGTATACTTTAAAAATGTATTTGATAGTTATAATCGAAAACTAGTCCTTAACTGTTAAAATCGCTAAAAACTGAAGAGAAGTACATAATTTTGTTTTTCTTTTATATTTTGGATTTTTGACAATGTTGTACTCGGCGCTCAAGGTAGACAACTTGGATTATTCATTGGGCCAACATCATAAACAACTGCGCAAACGACAAGGTTGCTGGATTAAAAAGGCATTTCTGCTCGCACGTTTTCTGTGACACAGTCTTCGAGGTTTTATTATTTTTCTTCTTTATTATATTGATCACATTTGAGTTTACAATTATTTTCCTTTGTAATGCAAAAGTTGTTAGTATTATTTTTTGCGGGTCCTTCAGATGCCATATAAAAATTTTTAATTTTTGTAATAAGTTAGATTGTGAGAAAATTAGAAATTCTATTTTTTATCTAAAAGTCATTTTTCACAAATTCTTATTATACTTGGGATTTGGATTCTATAACTGCTATGAATATTGCTCATCCCTTTTTAATAATGAGTGATCACTTTAATATTTATTTATCTATTTATTTATTATTTTATTTATTAATTTATTTATTTTATTTATTTATTGATATTCGTATTATCTATTTTAAAAATTAATGCTTATGTATTCAAGGTTTGTGAGAGTTATGTTTGTGGTATATAGGTATTGGTCATTTTTTCACGAAATTTTATAATTTTAAATTATCTCTATGCTGGACACCTGTAAACTTTTTAAGTTGCAACGATATTTTGTTTTTCTTATGCAGAACATTTATTTTAACCAATAGGATATCTTAAAAAACTGCCTCCATTTACACAAAATGAAAAAATGCGCCACTTAAACAAATATACAGGGTCATTCTATACGGGCGGAACACTTGATTTATGGCTTAACTAATTTATGACTTGTACGATAATTTGATTAAGATAAAAGTTTTTGTACATTTTATGTACTATTCATTGACGTTTACAGATTTCCCGCATACGTAATGGTTTTCAAGATATGACGTCATCGGGCAATATTTTAAATGGATCACCTTGTATTTATATTTTTTTTCGAGTTCGTATGATCTGTCTGATTTCATCAGTGGTACATTAAGTGGGTCCCAGACTTACGGTCTTATCAATAACAAATTAAATTATACTTAAGGCCCATTTTAAATGGATCACCCTGTATTTATATATTTTTTTTCGGTCTCCTGGCAATATCATGATCTATTCACAAAAAATCTTAACGTCAAATCACAGTAAATAAAAATATCTTTAGTGTACAGATTAAGTATTTGATTATTATTACTAACAATGGAACTAAGTGAACGTGAAAGAATTACACTGTTAATGATGGTTGGTTTTGGAGATAGAAAGAGAGGTTTACAAGAAGCTGCCGATTTGTTTAATGCTATTTCCTGATAGAATGTCTAATTTCTAAGTCGACAGTGTATCGAAATTTACGCAAGTTTAACGAAACAGTGTCAAAAATATTCCTGGTAGTGGACGAAAGAGGACAGCTACAAATGAGGAGAAATCACTTGATGTACTTCTAAATTTTCATGAAGAACCTAAAACTTCCATAGCAAAACTTGCATTAAATAATGATATTAGCCAAAGTTCTGTAAGAAGGATACTGATAAAAAATCATTTTCATCCGTATAAAGTTTAATTACATCAAGAATTAAATGAAGATGGTTCTGATCGACGAATGCAGTTTTGCCAAGAAATGATGGATCGAATTAATGGGAACAATATTATGAATAATATTGTGTTTTCCGACGAATCAACGTTTTGTATAATCGGCATAAATGCCAGTATTGGTCTGATCAGAATCCACACTGGATGATAGAAGGTCACACACAATATCCACAAAAGCTAAACATTTGGGCTGGTGTAGTTGGAGGAAGAATAATTGGACCTTTTTTTCTGTGACAAACTTTAAATGGTGATCGCTATTTACAACTTCTGCGAGAACAAATAGTTCAAGAATTAATCCGTATATTTCCCAATCGTGCTAATCATTTACAATTGTCAGAGGAAATATGGTTCCAGCAAGATGGCGCCCTACCTCATTTCGATGTTAGGGTTAGGGGATACCTCAACACAATATTTCCGCAGAGCTGGATAGGCCGAAGAGGATATATTGAGTGGTCACCAGATTTAACTCCACTGGATTTTTTTCTTTGGGGTCACTTAAAATCTGTAGTTCATAAGGATCTACCTTAATCTCTGGAAGAACTGGAAGATCGAATCAGAGCGGCCACTCAAGAAATAACTCCTGAATCTATTCAAAACAGTTTAAGATCATTTGTTGATAGATTAGGATATTGCCAGGCAGCCGAGAGCTTTCAGTTTAAACATCTACTTTAAATAAATGTGTCTTATTAAAGTATAATCTAATTTGTTATTATAAGACCGTAAGTCTGGGACCCACTTAATGTACCATTGATGAATTCAGACAGATCATGCGAACTCGAAAAAAAATATAAATACAGGGTTGGCCATTTAAATTATTGCCCGATGACGTCATATCTTGAAAACCATTACGTATGCGGGAAATCTGTAAACGTCAATAAATAGTACATAAAATGTACAAAAACTTTTATTTAAGTCAAATTATCGTTCAAGTCATAGTTAAGCCATACATCAAGTGTTCCGCACATATAGAATGACCCTGTATAGAGTCCATTTCACTGGAATGTCCTATTATTACACTTCTTTTCTATATAAAATATACTGCGCTATATTAATTAGGAATCGCTATCAAAAATTTCACTAGAAGAATAATGATGGTATTATATTTCAAATAATTAAAATGCAATATTCTCAGTCCCGTAAAAAACAAAATAAACAATTATTTGCCATATGCGATATAGAGAAAAAAATCAGAAAATTATTTTAAACAAAATGTTTTTAAATATTTCTAAAATAAACTGAAATAAAACATGTTTGTTATAAGAAGTTGCTTTGGTTTTTGCCCGTTTCGATTTAAATCCAAATATTTAAAAAATTAAGGCGATTCTTAATTAATTTTGAACAGTATATTGGACTGTTCTCTAATAATTTGGTACAGTTTCCTGTAATCTGCTTGATGTTTAGAGCAAATAAACATGCAGAAATGTTGTGTTTGAGCTCTTTATCGTTTTAATGAAAACATTGAGAGCTAGCTTCTCTTCCACTCCATTCCAACGTGTTGAAGGTTTAGGAATGGCAGATGTTGGTATGGTCTACCAAGAGTAGTTGGTTTGAATTCCCCCTAGAGCAGAACTTTTGAATTTTTGATGGTCTGTTTACATTTCTTAGTTTCAGGACTTTTTACTTAACATTTTTAGTTAGTGATAGAGTCAAAATTTACTATAAATTGCAGTGGCTCCTTTTTATTTTTGAGTATAGTGTATGGGTGTATTTTTTTGTTTTCAAATTTTCGATTGGTGCAATGTAAATATTTTTTAGATTAATGCAGATTTTACCCAATGCAATATTAACGATATTTTATGTATTATTTAAAAGTATTACATTTATATGAACTCCGAAGTGTAATTGGTAAAAAGTAATGGAACCGTTTCATCAAATTTCGTTAAAAATATTTTTTTTATTTACTTATGTATTTATAAAGATAAAGATCTAGTTATATTTCTTTTTCATAGATCCTTATCATGTTTATATTAACTTTAATATATAGGTAACATGATGAATTAAAAAAAAAGATGAAGCTTGAAAATAATTTATAAAATTAGTTATTGATTAGATTAATATTGTGACGAATTAAATTAATAAAATCAAGAAGTACAAATTTTAATAAAAGTTTGGTATATACATTATACAAATTCTATAATAATTCTCACAGATTTATTAAAAATTCTTAATTTCAATAGGCCATATTTAGTGAATGGGCGATGGACGATTTTTTAATTTGATCTCAGATAATTTTAACAAATATGGGTAGATTTATCATTTTTTAACTAATTTTGTATACATTATTATCTAGAAATTTTGTTAAACCACCCCTGGCTTTTTAAAATATCACCCATATATGGGTGGAGGAAAAAGTTTCTCGTTTGGAACACGATCTAAATCACTTTTGAATATACATCTAAATTTTTGTTGGGGTTGCCCCAAACCGTAATATATCGTGTGTATAGAAATCTGCATATTTTACATTTATTTAATACATATTGCATAATCGAAACATTAACAAATAAAACGACTATTTATATGTTTGTAATTCATTGCAAATAAAAATACCCAAATAAAAATAATTGCCTGCTAATTAAAATTTGAATTTAAGAAGTCAATTTCTTTTATTTGATTTTTTACATTGTAGAATATATGATATTAAAAAAACTTTAATACTCTACTAATATACTTACCTAAATAAAGGAATATAATAATACATTTTAAAACAATCATTCTATAAATAATTAATAGGTAATATACCTATTCCCCTTTGTACAAAATTATATTATCATTCCTATTTTTTGTTAAAAACTAAATACATTCCATTTCGTTTTTATTAAAGAGGTAGAAAGTTAAGAAAAAACTAAATATTGTTAATTATTTTTGAAATTGCTAAACAAAAATGTGCAATTTTTTAATAGAATTGAAGCCCTATAGGAAATACTCTAGTCATAATATTCTGTGTGATATTTTTGTTATAATTTATTTTTTAATTTTAATTAATTTATGTAGATATACTAATAAAAATTGGAATTGTTATATTCGGTTTTTTATTGTCTAAATTCCTCAAAAAAAAAAAAGTTGGTTCCGCCCGGGATCGAACCGGGGACCTTCTGCGTGTAAAGCAGACGTGATAACCGCTACACTACGGAACCAGTTGAAATACTTTGGAAAAAGATGTAATAAAAAGGAAGAGCATTTCCATGACAATAATTTATACGAAAAAAAAAAATACTAAAAAACAATATTCAAAATATTTAATAAAAAAAAAGGGTAAAGTTGTAGGAAAGGTATGTACTTAACGCGCATCCTGGCCGCGCATATGTAAACATCGTTATATTTATCGCGTATTTGTTTATATTTATTGATTTATTTATTTATTTGTTATTTTACTTAGATATTATTTATTAATAATATAAAAGTAGCAATCTGATAACGTTTGTACAGTTATACTGTGTAAAAAAAACAATTATTTTATATGCGCGGCCAGGATGCGCGTCAGTACATACCTTTCCTGCAACTTTACCAAAAAAAGTAACTAGAGTTGCTAATTCTTGTAATAAAAAATTAGAAAAAGTTATTTTTTTAGGGGATTTTAGGAAATTGCTGTTGGCGACACTAAAGTTTTATTTTGCATTGCACACAGGGTTGCCAATCGTACGGTAATTACCGTACTTGTACGGTAATTTCGCTCTGTAATTTTGAAAAATGTACGGTATACGGTCCAAAGTCATTACCGTACATAAAAGTACGGTATTTACATAAAACGTACGGTAAGCATATGGTATTTTGAACAGAATTAGCAAAGACTTTGAGTTGTGTAAGGGCCGATTCCACCGTTGTGATAAACGAAGTTTAAATTACTATGAAGAATAAAATGATATTGTCTAATGTAAAAATGCCATATTTTAATCTTTTTACAGCACATGTACTTTAAAAGGACCATGGTTTGTACAAAAATATAAGTTGAAGGACCATGGTTTGTACAAAAATATAAGATGAGGCCTTTTTTTTAGAAGGTAGGTAGAAGGCCTAGAGGTTGATTAAAATATGATGAGAACCTTTTTTTTTTAGAAGCCCGATAAAAGATATTTACACAATATAGTTTTTGTACAAAATAAAAGTGTACGGTACTGGGAGGCCATGTACGGTAATTTGAATTGCGCGGTACGGTAAATGGAATTTGAAAGGTTGGCAACCCTGATTGCACTTTGACTTGACAGTAGTTGTCAGTCGTCATTAAAGGGTTGTTGTTTTTCAATCAAATTGTTAAATTTAATTAAAGATAACGTGAATATAACAATGCTAGCAAGAAATATTCACAGAATTGGCCAAAGATTATTGATTCAAAATGGCCGAGCTCATATTCAAACAAATCCGAATGTTAAACCATTAGAAAATGTAAAACCAGAACTAATTATAACCGATAACTGCGTAAAACGTCTCAAAACGATCACAAAAAACACCCAAGAAGTCCTGAGAGTATCGGTGGATGGCGGAGGATGCTCAGGTTTTACATACAAATTTAATTTGGACACGAAAGTTAATGAAGACGATAAAATATTCAAGAAAGATGGTGTGGTAGTCGTTGTAGATAACATTTCCTTAGATTATATTAAAGGATCTACAGTAGATTACGGAGAAGAGCTGATAAGATCTTCATTTAGAATAGTAAACAATCCTTTATCCGAACAAGGATGTTCCTGTGGAGCATCTTTTGCAGTACGACTAGATTAAATATCTATATTGTTTAGGCAAATTATTTTATTTTGTGATACTTTGTGTGAATTGTGATATACATAGATTAATATATTCTTCAAAAATATAGTGACTATTAAAGCCACCCTTGTGAAAATTGGGATGGGATTAGAATGTGTGCACTGATGAGAGTCTGAATCCAATTGATTTCAAATCTACAAGTTTGACTGTCGAAGCCATGTGCCTTGATACCTAACTGTTAGAGGCGCGAATGACTATTGTCCAAAGGTTCAATCCCTGGTCAATGCATTTATTTTTTTCTCTCAGCTTTTTCAATTTTTCCTGTTTTTATTTTAGGCAATATGGGGGTGTATTTTTTATAATTTCTTAGGGTAAATTGGAATTTATACAGGGTCCCTACTATTTCATAGGGAACAGTATTGCTATTTCTTAAACAGTATCAGATAGAAAGTTGAATTATTTTTTCGCTTTATTGGTAATAATTTCGCAATTTCTTTATAAATTGTTGCCACATGTAAGTAGTTATTATTTTCGGCAAGGAATTGATTTTGTTTATAATTTTAAATTTTATTAGCTATATGGGCACATGAGATTATAATTTTTTTGATGAAACCTGGTAATTTTAACTAGAGAAAAATTACAGCAACATACAAATACAAAGTTACAAAAAGTGTTTTCATTTGTTATCACTTGGCCATTCGTTTGTTGATTTTTGAAGTTTGGTTTTAAAAATTAATAGTTTGAATTAGATATATTAGCTTACAGTTTCTCATATACTCAAAAATGGATTTGGGGCCGTACCGAGGCACAATTTTTTGGGGGAGAGGGGGGTGAAATATAAAAAAACACTAATTTTTTTATTAAGTACAAAAAATATATGCTTGAACATATTAAAAATGCTAGGGAAATCTAGAAAATCAAAATAAAATATAAATTTAAGCTACTAGGTTATACCTTAAATACTAAATATACCTACTAAAAAAATAGGAACGAGAACACCTTACTTAAAATATATAAACGAAAACAGTTTAAAAGTATGCTTAAAAAATATAATAAACAAAATAATGAAAAATAAAAAAAAAATTATATATTTCCTCCCTCTTTATAACACCATAGTATTAGTTGATTTGAACCATTAGTCTCCTGTCTTTTAATTTGGTCCAAGACTCGATTGCATCTGTCAGTTTTATGGTATCTGTTAAATTGTAATCCATTTTTAGGCTTATTATGGAATAACCGATCATTAAACATTTATTTATTTGTATACATGGATAAAAGTATCATAATACATAAATAATAATAATATTAATAATAAACAGTAGGTAATTACAACTAATATTACAACTTATTCAGTAAAGTAATAATTAATCAAGAGTAATGTAACAATTAAATACAAGTTTTCGGAACATATTAAATGGTCTAATCTACATCAATACAAGTGTTAATATTATTTGCCAATCGGAGCTTGGTCACAAGAGGTGACCTGGCAGTGGTATGAACTAAAGGAATATTAAACATACATGGATGTCTCATTCTCCTCGGAGGTACATTAAATGGTATTAAGTAAAGTAGCTCAGGTGAGTTAATTTTATAGTTAATAATTAGAGCATAATAAAGAATTTTTATAGATTCTATGTTAGTAAAACTTCTAGTTTGCCTAATTATGAACCCCAGCATTCTATTTCCAGCCTTAACTATATTTTTTACATGATTAGAAAAAGACAGAACACAATCGCAGGTTATACCTAGATTAGATTAGGAGTTGGACGTTATTTGTCCTTGTCCACCGCGACCTTTTCAGATCTATTGTGGGACTCCGTTTGTTTTAGAGTATGTCGTCTAGCCTGGTCTTTTTTATTAGACTTAGTAGCTTTGACAGTGGCTCCCGCATGTAGTTGCACGCAATTGGCTTTTCTTCGCCCAGTGTTAGAAACCTCATTCCAGCCAGGCCTTCACATTGGCACAGGACGTGGAATGATGTTTCCTCTTCTTCTTCTTCACAGAACCTGCACAAAGTTGCTTCTTCTGCTGGATTTATGACACTCATGTGCCTTTTGAGGCGACAGTGTCCAGTAAGAAGGCCTACTGTTATCCTAATGATTTGACGCTTTTGATCCAGTAGGTCTTTCGTAAACTTGGCCGATGGTTCCTTGATGAACTGTTTGGCCTGTCTCAGTCTTGGATAGTTGTTCCACCATTCCTGAGACTCTTTTTGCATCCATTGTGTAGAAGGATGAGGTGGCTAGTGGTAAGTAAAGCACGTAGGTTATGGTGAAAAACACACTTTAATATTGGAACAAGAACTAACAAATTATTGTTCTGTTTCAGGTTGGAATTTGTCAAAACGAAAATCTTTGTACACATCGTTTTTATCTTCATTCCCTGGCACTGGCGGTGTCATTATCACTTCACAAATAAATGTTCAGTTTTTTTTTTTTTTAGAAAGTTCACAAAAACCACAATGAAATGTTTATATTTTTCCACCAAAGTTCGTCGCCATATGTAGTAGGATGAGGTGGCTAGTGGTAAGTAAAGCACGTAGGTTATGGTGAAAACACACTTTAATATTGGAACAAGAACTAACAAATTATAACTAAGAACGAGGAACGAGTAAATGATGTAACTATATAATTGAGTGTTTATTCGCGCAAATATGAATGTGGTGGACTGTGGACTCCACAGAACACTCGCCACCTGGCGTAGTAAAAAGTAGTCCCAGACAAGATACTCTACTCTCATTTGCTGTAACTTCAGTGTCGAATCTAGTGCCAGTGGCGTAACATTAAAATATGGTAACCATGTTACCACACATTGTTTAATGGATGCATTGCACAATGCCTTAGCAACTCCACAGAAGGGTTCGGGGCCTGTCATGGCCTTATCTGAGCCTTCTCGGGCTAGTTCGTCGGCCTTTTCGTTGCCCTGATATCCCTCATGGCCTGGAACCAAGGCTAAGGTCACCTTATTTTGACTACTTAGCTCTGTCAGGTCTTCTAGACAGTCTTTCACCAGTCGTGATTTGATTTCTGGTGAGAGAATTGCCTTTAGAGCTGCTTGATTATCAGAGTATATGGCAATAGTTTTGCCTGATACTTGCTGATTTAATATTTATCTTGCACAGTGTTGTATGGCTATTAGCTCAGCCTGGAACACTGTTGCATATTTTCCTAAACTCAGTGAAATCGTTGATTTCGACTTGGGTCCATAGATTCCAGCACCGGCTCCTTCCTTGGTTTTTGAACCGTCTGTGTACCAGACGAGTTCAGCCTGTACGGGAGGTCCCTGTTTCCAGGATTCTCGGGCTGGTATTTGAATTTGAAAATTTCTTTCAATTGTGTATGTGGTTATGGCTCTATCAGTAGGCATAGCTAGAATATGATCCCTTTTTACTTGCTGATATAGCCTTGTGTGGTCGGCGCTATGTAGTTGGCTTATTGGGTTTTGTCCCTGCATTAGCCTGTGAATAGCTGACCTGGTTTCTTCTTGTATGAAGATGTGCAGTGGCGTAAGATTTAATAATACCTCCATTGCTGCGGTCGGCGTAGTGCGCATGGCCCCAGTAACACTTAGACAGGCAAGCTGAATGCTAGTGAGTTGGCCTATTGCACTTGTCTGCGCAGTTTTGGTTACCCATGCCACTGCGCCATAGGTTATCATGGGTCTTATTATTACCCTTGTGTATAACCATATGGTCATTTTGGGGTTTAGACCCCAGTTTTTCCCACATATTCTTCTACAGCTTACGAGAGCTATTGTAGATGTGAGTTTTTTGAGATGTTGATTCCACGTCAGCCTTTGGTCAAATATGACTCCGAGGTATTTGGCTTCTGTGACGAATGGGATAACTGTGCTGTTTAGTACTAGTGGTCTTAGACCTGTAAGTACCCGTTTTTTTGTGAATGGTACAACTGTTGTTTTTTGTGCGTTGATGTTGATGGACAATTGTTCCTTTTTGCACCAGTTGTTCACTATGTTTAGAGCTGTTTGAGATCGCTCCGAAACTGTACCTGCAAATCGCCCCCTGACGATAATTGCTAGGTCGTCTGCGTATCCTAGGCACATGGTAGCCTTCTTTGGACAATATTTTGAGTAAGTCGTCCACAAGAACTGACCACAGCATTGGAGATAGTATTCCTCCTTGTGGGCAGCCCCGTGTAACTTTTGCCTGTATGGTTGCCTTTCCTAGAGTGGATGAAATAATCCTGTTTTCTAGACAGGCAGTGATCCATTGGCATATTGTTACTGGGGCGTTTCTCCCTTCTAGAGCCTTGGTTATTGACCTGGTTGAGGCATTGTTGAAAGCTCCTTCAATATCTAAGAAAGTGGCTATTGCGATTTCTTTGTCATCTATTGACTTTGAAAGCAGCCTGTTTAGATCGTCCATTTAGCTTGTTGGATTCTAGAATTTCGGTAAAAAACTTTATCTTCAAATAAATAAAAAAAAGATAAACGGCAGATAAAATAACCAAAATTTAAAATACATTTAAACAGTCCATATGCTTTTCCTTTAGTACTACTGTCGACATTGATATTTGTAGAAATATTTAAAATAATTTCCATTGAAATGTTTACTGCATTTAAAGTTTCTGAAGCATTTCGATTAATTTTGGAAATATTTTTTTAAGATGGAAATTTTCTGATGTAAACTAGCTCTCGGCGTTTGGAACCCCTTTGTACTTGAATTAAAGAAAACGTAAAGTTCTTCTAAAATATTAAACATGTCTGTTACTAACTTACAAGCCATAGAACAATGCTCAATTGTGGTATTAGTGTGCTTGGCAGGGACCATATAGAATTTCTCGGTCCAGTAAATCTGAAATTTTCTTTTGAGTTTCGTTTAATTTTCTGGACATGAAGCAAAGTTGTATGACTGGAAGGCTAACTTAGTCACATCAGTATGGTATCTATTTCGGACCTCATATTTGTTGGGCTGTTCCAGCCCCAGTTTTGTCAAAGACTCCTCACAACACAAAGCAATCTTTCTTGGGGTACTCCGTTATTGTAAAAAATTAAGAATTGTTTATTTCATTAACAACTATTTTATTTATTTTCCTAATAGATCTATAAATTCATTTTGTGACTTCGAACTAAAGTAAGTAAAGTGGTAAGGTGATAAACATTATCCAACCTGTTTTTTTAACAAATTGTTATGTCTGCCATGAGTTTGACAATTATTTCATCTAAACCAGTTGTTTCCAAAGTGAGTATCCCAGAACCCTAGAGTTCCTTAGAAGGATATCAGTGTTTAAACCAGTGGTTTCCAAAGTGAGTATCGCAGAACAATTTAAAAAAATAAGCTAGACATTTCATTTAAGCCGCCTACAAATGTGATGTGACAACATAATTTTGTATCCAGTAGGTACATCAAAAAGGCATTTTTTTTGTAACACATTTAAATTATAACCAACTAATTTATTAGTTATTTAATTTTATTATTTAATAAATAATATTTTGCATTCATGTTTCTTTGTTAGTATATTTTTAATGTTGATGAATGTTCAGTTTTTATTTCCTCTATGGTATCAATTTGTCCTATTTTCTACTTTTCAAAATATGGTAACTTTAAGTAAATCTAAACATAAAATAGTATAAATGGTTAGGATTTACATTAAATAAAAGTAATTGCCTAAGGGTTTCATGGCCATACAATTTTGGGACCTGCTGATCTAAACCAATTGTAACTTTATTATTATTTATCCAAGTATCTTTCAAATCATGTTCATTTTATATTAGTAATTCCTATCTCATGTAGTTCTTCTTCAAATTCATCAATTTCTTCCTTAACATAATTGAGATTTTCTACAATTTCAGACTTGTGATCTAAATTTGTATCTTCATTAGAGTCAACATTATTCTTTTCATGAGGTTCATGGCTCAAAACCTCAATTTTTATTCCATTTTCGCATGTTATTTCTCGTTTTTTGTCAATTTTAACATCTTTGTTGCCATGATGCACTTTTACATGTTGCTTTAATTTAAGTATTTCGGAAAAAGATTTTTTACAAATATCACAATTGTAGTTATTTTCTTGATTGTGTAAAAAAACTGTATGTCTTTTTAATTCAGTGTGAAAAAGTAGATGTTTATGTAGATTACATTTTTGAGTAAATGATTTTCCACAAGTATCACACTTGTATTTCTTTACTCCAGTGTGAAAAAGTAAATGTGTATTTAGATGATCTTTTTGAGCAAATGATTTTTTGCAAATATTACACATATGGTCCTTCACTCCAGTGTGTAAAATTAAATGTCTGTTTAGATAACTTTTGCTTGAAAATGATTTTTTGCAGATATCACACTTGTACTTCTTTACTCCAGTATGTAAAATTGAATGAGTTTTTAGGTGACCTTTTTGAGTAAATGATTTTTCACAGATATCACACTTGTAATTCTTTGCTCCAGTATGTAAAAACGAATGTGTTTTTAGGTGACCTTTTCGAGCAAATGATTTTTCGCAGATATCACACTTGTAATTCTTTGCCCCAGTATGTAAAAACGAATGTTTGTTTAGATAATCTTTATGAACAAATGATTTTCCACAAATATCACATGTATAGTTTTTTACTCCACTGTGCGAAAATAAATGTCTGTTTAGTTCACTTTTACAATAAAATGATTTCTTGCAGATAGCACACTTGTAGTTCTTTACTCCAGTGTGCAAAAGTAAATGTTTGTTTAGAATACGTTTTAGAGCAAATGATTTTCCACAGGTATCACACTTGTGGTCCTTTACTCCACTGTGCAAAAGTAAATGATGTTTTAGAGCACTTTTTAGCACAAATGATTTTCCGCAGGTATCACACTTGTTCTTTATTTCGGTGTGTAAAAGTAAATGATTGTTTAGAGTACTTTTTAGAGCAAATGATTTTCCGCAGGTATCACACTTGTGGTCCTTTACTCCAGTGTGCAAAAATAAATGTCTCTTTAGATGTTTTCTTTGAGAAAATGATTTTTCGCAAATATCACACTTGTAGTTCTTTACTGATACGTGCAAAACTAAAGGTCGTAGATGAGAAAATGATTTGGAAGTTTTTTTACCAGTATTCTTTTTTACCTGTTGCTGTAATGTAGAATGTTGAAAAATTGATTCTTTACAAACTTCGCTTACACATTTATTTTTATCTAAACCAGAGTTTTCTATATAATTTTCAGATTTTATACGAATATCTTCTAATTCATGTAATTCTTCTTCAAATTCATCGTTTTCCTCCTTAACACAATTTATTTTCTCTACAATTTCAGATTTGTGATCTAAATTTATTTTCTCATTAAACTCAACAGTGTTAATATTATTCTGTTCACAAAATTCACTGTCTGGATCTGGAACCTCGGTTTTTATTGAGGTTTCGTATTTTATTTCTGGCTCCTCTTTGATTTTAAAATCCATTTTTACGTTCATGTGTCAAGTGTCATCATATCAAATTGTCAATCTGTCATTTGTTAGGCACAAAACGTAAAACGAAGTCTTACTGAAGTGCGTTCCGTAACCCCAACTTTCTGCTCAAGTTGTTCAAAAACCTTCAACGAAATTAATTATTGAGACTCTCGTTCCAAAACCAAAAAGTACCAAGATGAGAAACTACATTCATGCCGTTAAAATAAAGTTCTGACCCCAGACATTTAAACGGGAGTGTGCACGATGTTACAAATGTAATCCGTATATAATTAAATAATTAGATATTCATTTTAGTTCGATATCTTATTGGATATTTTGTTAAGATAAAGCATAGCGCCGCTATTCAGGAAAAAATTATAGTCAATTGTGATTTTCGTCACAAAATAGGACGTATCAATGAATACTTTACTATGCATTTTTACAACTTGTACCTGTCTGTGAAATATGGATGGATCGATACGCTATGGACGAAGGTAATTTTTATAAATGTATCACAATCTAAAGCCTAGTGTACTGCACACGTACGACCTCCGACAATATGATGATCCGTAAATGTTTCTATCGTCTAATTATTTAAAAAATATATAAGACGGGAATATTTACAAGAAACTTTCAACTTTTTGTCCGACGTTGGAGAAGTTGGATAAATTTTATATTGTATCCGTTGAGCATGTACTTTTTAACCTAAAATGGAGAATGATTTTTGTAAACATAGTCCCTCGTCTAACTACAAAAAGTGGTTTTTGTAAACATAGTCCCTCGTCTAACTACAAAAAGTGGCATTTCGTGTTTAATTCTTGCTATTTGTAGTTGGGTACAGGCATGGCTGGGCCAAAGCTCAGGCTGTTAGTTCTGGATCCAAACAAGATTGTCCAAATTAACCTATTCTGCCAATTTTATTATAATTACGTAAAAATCAATTCAGTTGGTTATTTTTATCATCTTTTATCGAAATTACCACGCCTAGAAATAAAAATAAAGTGTATATACTTTGACCTTAATTTAAATTCATTACATTATTATTACAGTCCAGTATATTTTTGCACTGAGCAAAAACTGTTTTATAATAATTTTTGAATCAAGTCGTGTATGATTTCCGAATATCCAAGACGACGAAAAATCACAAAATTACTTGCATATAATTAAAAGATAATGGATCTTGTGAGTGTGAATGCTATTTAACAAAAACTTAAAAGAAAACATTGTGATTTATCTTAATACGACCAACAAACATTTTATTTTGGCAAGTTAACGACTTTTAAACATAATATGTACGTAGTGGTATTTCAGTGGAGATCTGAAAATGGCAAGTAAAAACGGTCAGCAGAAGGCCGTTCCCATACAGCACAAAAAACATTTCGGAACTATTTAAAAAATGATGCATTGAAATATTTGTAATGTGTATAAATATTACAAAACGTTTCATCTCCATAGTATTCAACCCACATACTTTGATTACTATATGGGGCAAGAGAGAGGTCCGACACGCCCAACATAGGGCGCGGCCATTTTGAACCCTATGACACAGTTTATAGCTAAAGAATCAGATCGCTCACTATGCGTCGGCTTTTTTTATCTCAATGTTCCAGTTTATACACTGCGCAACTCAGATAATAAAATATATGACAACCGCCTATAATAAAACAGCAGTCTTCTGCGTATCCTGAATTTGTATTCCTGGAGTGGATGTTATTTTGGAACTTTCAACTGGTCCGAGTGAGCTAACTGATTCTTTAGCAATAAACTGTGACTCCAAAAATAATATTCACTGACACTGACAGCAGCAAGCAAAATATCAGGTGCGTTTTAATCATCCACTTCTGCTTCCGGAATTGTCGGTTCAGTCGTTCTAACCTGTCAGATTAAAACAAGAAAACCGACAATTCCGAAGCAGAAGCGGATGATTAAAACGCACCTATTAAAAATATTGCGATGTAGGCAACACGTAATAGGGGTTCAAAATGGCGGAGTTTTCTATCTCCTTTTAACAGGCACTCAGAAAGCTGCGCAGTGCGACCATTCTCCATATAGTAAAAGAAAATCAAAGTATGTGATTGAACCGCATTGGTTTTAACTGTGCAGTTAAAACTGACAGTTTTAACTGCACGTGAGTGGCCGGCCTTTAGATCATACTGTAAGCCGAGAATACCGATCAAGGAGAAGCGACAGCTTGGTGTTTTCAGTGTACCGTTTTATAATGCGCATGTGCGAAAATAAGTTATGTATCACTCAAAATTATGTAATTTGTCAAAGTCAGTCCAAGTTGTGTTTAGTACGTGAGCAATGTTAAGTGATATTTTTTGGTGTTTGCTTTGTGTAGTAATAAGATGAAGATTTTTACATACTTAGGTATTCTAATACTGATATAAAATGTGCCAAAAAAGTTATTAGGAAACTAAGAATTTTATCACATGCATAAATATTAAGTATAATGATTTAATCATTTTTGACATTTTATTTTTCATATGTAGGTATTGTATTTTGTGAAATATATGTTTTTCTTCTTTTTAAATAAATTTAATAAACAATAAACTGCAGATTTTGTTTATTTTATTTTGAAATTATATTTAAAAAAATATAATAAATTCGCGTGTTTCAATTAGGATTGGTCAAAGTGGACGAAATCCCTTTATTATGGCTAAATTGTAAGTTACAATTATGTCAATATAAAGATGTTTTGCCCATTCATATTTACATTTATTGAATGAATCATACTGGAGTTGATTTTGGAAATATTGGTGCATACTTAAATAAGTACTATTTCTAAAAATTCGTCTATGCACACATAATCCAATGGACGTCCACTTTAGATCTATTTGAGGGTCAGGACGTCCATATCCGGGCATCCAGTGTACGTCCGTTTATGCTAATTAAATTGACAGCTGAATATCGATACCCAGAGAACGTCTGTTTTTTGACTTAATTTTAAGATTAGTAGTATTTTGACGTCCAGTGGACGTCCATCTTAGGTCATTATTTATTAAGCCTACCAGATAATACCCATCTATATATACTTCTTTTTTTAAATATAACTGATCATTAAAAATTGACAAATTGAATCTATTGCATTTAATTTTATCAGCGGAAGTTTGAAATCTTATTTAATTATAACTGTATCTAGTTAAAAGGTTTCAAGTGGTTCCTTGGTTGAGCTCGTCTAGCGATTGAAAGCGTAAAACGATAATGGAAAAGTGTCGTGAGTTCGATTCCTGCTCAGGTCAAGAGATCTTTAATAAAAAATAAATAAATGGTGTATAGCGGTTTGCGAAAATAATAAACAAATTATTAATAATATAAAAGAGTGTGTGGTGAGTTGCGGTTCTGTAAAAAAAGTGGGTATGTGGTCTCAATGGAAATATAATCCTGGACGTTTTTTGAATGTCCAGTATTCGACATCCAAATATATTCCAGAATTGGACGTCCTCTGAATGGTCAAAAGTGTGCCATTTGTATACTTCACAGGACGTCCATTGGATGTCGGAAGTCCAGACGTCTAGACATCCAAAATTGTATATAGAATGGACGTCCAATGGACATATTTGTATTGTCTGGGTGATAGCCAACTCTAAATACATAAACCTTAAATGACATCTGGTTTAACTTGGCGAGAAAACACTTGTTTCTACAGAAATGAGTGATAAACTTGAAAGTCCTTTCAATATAATATAAATCTAGAAATTCTAAAAATATGTAAGTACTTTTTAGACCTAAAAGCTTTGAAAATATATGCACATTGCAAATATTTAGTTAAACCTCTCAAACTTAATGTCTTTTTTTAATTGTTACCCTTAATTGTATTTACCTTATTTTTACTTAAGGAAAACGTAATTTAATTTAAATATGGGGCTTTTATTACATTTTTAACAATAAATTAACCAAATATTGAACAAATTTTATAGATAAATTATAAAATAATAAACGTCTTTTACTTTTATAACAAATAATGAATTATATTTTGGTGCCGAAATTTCACCATTGTGCTATTAACCCTAACTACTTCAATGTAATTATATCACATTGCAACATTTGCGCATGGACTATAACAATAATTTCAGATAATTTGCCAAACTATTTCGCTCAGTGTAGAAAATAGGCATGTTTTCTCAGCGTGCTAAGTTGTGTATCAATCAAAGTCATGCTGTGAAAAAGGTACATCCGATATCAAAGGCACCGACAGCTACGGTCGCTTCACCTTGATAGGTATTCTCGGCTGTAAGTTTTGGCATGTAGGCTATATCGGCGTGTATGGCTGCTCCCATCAGTGGTTTAGAAAAGACCGAAGTGAACTAGTCTTTTTAAGTTTGCCTTTTTGTATTAATAACCCCAGTGAATGGAACAATAACGTTGTCTTTAGTAAAGCTTTTTTTTGGGTAATGATGTTCTTTAATACTGTTTTTGTAAATTATTTACTTTTGTTTCTAATGTTTTTCTTCCAATTCTACCACATTAAACGGTTTATTAGTAAAAAGTAACTAGTCATTATGTTATTCATTTAACTAATTATCAAAATTAGCGACGGTTTTATGTTTTAAAATAAACACAAATGTTATTACAGAACTTATTTTATTATATAAGTACATAAACATTTAAAAAATGATAATTTAATACAAAATTCAATATATACAAATATTTACACTCATCTCAAGTACAGAAAACTTGATATACAATTAACTATATATACGTTATAAATATGTAAATATTACAAAATTACAGAACATGACTAGACAAAAAAATCCAAATTGCAATGACAAAAAATCACTTAATACTTCCATCGTCATACAAAATATACAAAAAGATACATCGCCACTCAGGCCATGCCACAATACATTTAAACTAAGCCATCAACATACAAAAGTTGACCGTTAAGTCTGGGCCACCTTTCTTCTTATATACCGCGCTGCAAGCAAATGCGCAGATTCACTGAGAAAATTCCACTTCCCGAGTCCAGTCAAGGACTTCGGTGAGCTTAAGTCAATATAGACTTTGCGTCGAACAGCTGCTCAAGATTTGACACTGACAGCTGCTACATGCTTTGCGAAGTGGTCCTTCTTGTTATCGGGAGGGGTATTCTTGATATTTTCTATTATCTGTAACAAGGAAAAAGTTCGTTAGATTTTATATTTAAAAATGTAATATAGTTTCCAGTCAATTTTTTTCAATAACTTTACAACATAATATCTCAAATATAGATACTTACAGAAATAAGTCTATCAAATCCAAAAAGTAGTCCCTCCTCGTGATTTCCTTGCATCCAAGGTGTTCTATGATTAACAGTCTGTCCTTCAGGCAATTTGTTTATTTTCGCAAAATCGATCATCCAAACTCCAACCTTAGTATCATCGTAGACAATAAACAGACTACTTCCAACGACTTCCCTAATATTGAAGTAATCGGAGCTTTCGATCTTCGATCTAATCTCGCACAATCTCGCTAACAGTCTTTGCCTAATGTCCTCACGGCCTCCTATGAACCTGTCCAACGTATTGACGACCTCGTCGCTCGATTTGACTTTCTTGAGGTCGGTAACCGGTGGCGATCCTCTGCATTTCATAGCTTCGATCCTAAAGCCTTGACTGCACGTGGAAGATTGTTGTTCGCGGAACTGCATGTAGCGCAGCTTGGTGACAGCTTTGGTTTGGCGTTCTTGTTCAGTTGGTGCGCGAGGGTCTATGGCGATCATTTTTTGGTACAGGTCAGGGCGAGCCGCTGTCTTTTCGACTTCGGATTCTAGAAAGGTGCGGGTGCCCATTTTTATGTCTATTACATAGGGGTCCTGGAAATAATAAGAATCGTAAGTAAACAAACAAAAAAAGCTCCAATAAAGGAAAGGTTTCCAGAAAATAGTACCTCGGAGATAAACTGCACTATGTCGATATAGTGCAGTTTTATAAAAGTTGTATTTTTAAACTACACCATGTATTAATGTAAAAAAATATAACACTATGTTCAATAAACTTACGAAGTAAACAACACCATGTGCACATAGTGTTTTTTACTGTTATGTTATATTTCTCCAAAATTTCTATGAGAACATAGAAATATGTTGGAGGTATATTACACTAGTTATAAAAACCAAGATTTATTAGTTAGATTAGTAAACAATACAACAGATTAGGAATTAAAAAATTATACGAGCCATAGGCTATAGACACTGCTAGTGAACATCCATCTCTATACTTTGTGTGCAACATCCTACCACCTCTCCGCTACCTGCGAGCTAACAAAGACAGGGTTGCTAGATTAGGGGATTTTTCCCAAAAATTAGGGAATTTTTTTCATGGGGATTTCTTTCTGGTGATTTCTTCTGGGGTAAAATATTTATCTGGGGTTTAACAGTGGATTTTAGGTCTGACACTATACTCAAGCCTAACATGTATGATACTTCTAAAGAAAATGAATCAGTTTTAGACATTTTTGCAGATCTTGATGATTAACTATTACTTCTTTCTTTATTATCCTATTTCATATACTTTTATTTAACTTTTTTCAATGAATACTATTTTCGTTAGCCTTCAATTGACATTATGTTTCAGTGTCATATTTATAAGTTCTGCCTCTCATTTACAGAATAAAAGTAGTTTCTAATTCTTGGGGATTTATTTGTAAGATAGCTTATTTTGGAGTATTTTAGAGATATGCGGAAATATTTTAGTTATAAAAATAATTTACGAAAACAAAAAAAAATTATAAATATTTTTTTCGAAAAGTCATGACTTTAAGATCGAAGGGTCTCAGGATCGAATCCTGCTGGTGACAGGATTTTGATTTGAATTAAATATTAATGCTAATGCTATTGCATAGGTAGGATTCTTCATTCACTGGTGGGTTCTAACAGTGAAGTTCCTAAAGTAACACTGGGAAACAGCAACAACGCTTACACAAAACACGAGGTTAACAAGCATATGTTGCGTTTGAGAATCCACATCGGATGCATTTTTTACATCTCTAGCGTTTTTTTATTCACATCGGACACATCTGTCCCATTACATTTACGTATACTGAATCACGTGATCAAAGAATTTTTACATCTCAGATGCATCCGATGTGGATTCTCAAACGCGGCAATAGCAGTTGATGCCAATGACACATTTCACCGATTCGATTATGATGCACTCCGACGTTTTACGAACATTTGCCTGCAATTAATAGAGATGGACGTACCTACACCGTACGGCTCAAATAATTTTTTCCAAACCTGTATAAATACTATGACAATAATTGGGTTGAACAACATTCAATCTGCTCTACTGAAAAGTGGATTAGACAAACATAGTGCAGTTTATATCTCCGAGATACTGAATGTTTGATTAAATCTTTTGAGTCCAATTCAAAACAAAATATTTACCTGAAAACCATGTAGTAAGTCCTGCAATTCTATAAACTTTTCTCCTTGGTATTCAACCTCGCGATAATATCTAGGTATGATGTCACACAGGTTGGGATCTTGTGAAAGATCTTCGTATACTATTCTTTCGGTATCATCGGAGTTTGGAGATCTTTTCTTCCATACTGTTCCGGGACCTGCAGGCGCTAAACTATCGGGATGTCCGCTTAACTGGAACCAATTGCTGCTGCGACTTTTCAGTAGTACATCGCTTGCAGGAGCACTGAGATCTAATGCATTCTGAAATAATAAATACACTTTTAAGTAAATTATCTACAATTTAAATTTTGTCAAAAGAGATAAGTTGTGAACTGGTAGGATTAAAAATATTGGATATTTTTGTTTCTAATGCGTTTATCATTATTATTTTTTTTAAAAAAGTTGCTTACAGTTAATTGCAAAATAGTAAATGGATTTTCCCGATCAGAAATCACTATCGTGAATGATGTTAGGCGAAGAGGTCAAAAGTATTAAAAATACACGGTCTAGACACTTATCAGTATATTTGTTTTTAAAAAATATACACTTAAAGTTTGTTTGTACACATTTTCGTTTCTTTCCTCTATTACTTGAAACTAATTTCGAATGCGGTATTTTTCCTAAAAACTTAATTCGAAATGACTCTAATAAACAAAATTTTGACCGAAAAATGGAAGGTATTCAAAAACAAATACATAATAATTTTTTAAGGTAAATCGCGGTTATTTTGGAAACGGATTTTAAAACAAACATATTGTTCGCAAAAATTCAAATTCCCAGAAACGAAGTTTGTTTCTACCACCAGTTTTAGCTAATTAACAGTATAATTTATTAAAGAATGATGTATTTAAATATTTGGTTTAGTTAAACAAATAACTTGGATGCTATGCACGTTTTCCGTAAAAAAAAATCAGGATAAATAAATGCTCGTTACATTTTTTAAATATTTTGCAAATCACAAAAACGAAGAAAAATTTAAAAAATGATTACATACATTTCAAACGTATTGTTTATTTCGATTAAACTATTCACTGACGTAAAAATGTATCATAAACGTGTGTTTTGTTTTGTTTTTTTTTTTTCATAATTCTTACCGATTTTATGATAGGTACTGCTGCTATTAGTAATATCATTTTTAAATATTCTTTGACGTATTCTCTGCGATGTTTATTAGTATTCTGACCTCACGTCAAGGCAAAGTGTGCAATTTTTCTTTTTCTTTCATGGTCTGATACTCTCTGCATTGTTTATCAATATGGAAAAATTAATTATTTATTTAATGATTGGTATTCTAGCAGCACGATGTGCTCTGATGCGTTTAACAAAATCGATTTGCAAAATCCAACGGTCTTGCTAATGTTTATGGATGTTTTATACACCTCTGGATGGATTTAAATAATAAAATTATTCAAAAAATAACCTAACACGTATATTGTTACTAAACAACCATTGTATTTGTTCAAATATACAGTAATTAATTTTTTATATTAATTTGAAAAAATGCAATCAAGAGTTTTTCTTCTTCCGAACTTTATTCATGGCAGAAGTTTGGAAGCACCCTGTATTATCTTTTGTTACTAAAATCAACAGCTATACAAATAGATTTACCTATTGATAGTACTTAGATATTTACATCGTGATCAACACTGAATTAATAATTTTCTTTTCAATCTTTATTGTTATTTATTATCTTCTTTTTATTATGTATGTACTATTTATTTGTTAACATTGCTGTTACTTAGGACAAGGATGTAATGAGTAAATTAAATTTTATCATACCTATATTATGTATTTTTTGAAAATATCGCGATAATTACGTACCTTTCCATTACCAGGTACCGAAATTACTCTTTAGACCTAGACAAAAAAAATTGAACTCTAGAAAATAAATACGTGGATTATTATTATAATTTTCGATCCCTTGTATATTTAAAATTTAAATATAGAATCTTTACGTGCGTCAATCTTGTTTCAAAACAATCCAAATATATCGCTAATAACTAGTTGTGTCAATTCATTAAGATAAATTAAATTGTTAAAACTTTAATAATATGATAAATTATTTAAAATTTTTAATTTTATGCTAACAAAGCTCATGCAACGCGCACGTGATGATGTTCAATTCTGTAAGTCTAAACGAGTTTTAGATATAAACGGCCCTTAATGTCGACCATTAAGAGGGAGTTCTTAATTGAAGGTCTAGACGTCATGAAAAAATGGACAACAGTTAGTACCGCCTTTAGAATTACTGTAATTATATAATTTACAAAAGATTCGAACAAGATTGTAGCTAAAAATAAAACTGTTAACTGTGCTTTAACTAAAACAAATCACGACTAATGTCCAAGTGAAATTAAATCAAATAAGAGGGTAATTTAATTATTATTAGTACAATTTTTCAGTTGCAAGAAACATTACAATATAAAAAATTTCGTAAACGATTAAGTTTGTAGATTTATAAGAAGCTACCTCGAAGGACTACATAGTTAGCACAAGTCCTATGGTATGATAAACCAAAGAAGATGAGTTCAATCCTCACTGGGACTACCATAGTTGAAGATAGAACAAACCCATCGATGGTAGAAATCAGTAAATCAATGTTCTATTCCTCAATATGAAGCTCCCAGGAACGTCGAAGGTTTATATGCTCGTATCACCAATGCAGACATTTTTTCAAATTGACTTTACTAGCTTTTTAGATAAAAATAGTCGAAAATATACAGCTTTCTATGATAAATGGTACCGTCTATCAGTTTTGTGTAGATTTGGATTACAAAGTGCTTGTGCAGCAATAGTTAGGGCTCTTTATTCTCTTTATAATAAATCTGAAGAAATTTCTCTTCATTATATTAATAGAATGAAAAAATACCTACATAAAAAACTCATCAATATTATTTTACCAGAAGTGGAACAGGTAGGTTTAAAAGTAAATCTGTAGAAATGTAAATTTCATCAACAAGAAACTAATTATTTATGATACATGATAAATACGAGCATTACAATGGATTCTGAACGACTGAAGACTATCAAAGAATACCGAATACCCAAAAACTTATGAAAGTAATTTTAAAAAACCGACTCCAAAATCGTTCAGATGCCATGGCAAATTGAGTACTGATTTTTTTATAGATCTCATCATCACATCTTGATCAAATGTATATGGGACTGCTCCCGAGGTACCACCTTTCTAACAAAAAAAGAATTACAAAAATCGGACAAAGTGGTAAAAAGTTTGATGTTTTCCCATTATCAGATTTTGATTCAAATTTATATATGAGACCAGCCCTAAAGTACCCCCTTTCTAGCAACTTAACAATCATAAAAAAGGACAACGTGGTAAATATTTAAAGCTGAACATACATAAAAAAATATACTTCGACGAATTGAGAACCTCATCAAAATTCTAAGGGGATTCTTGGAAAAATGTATCAAACTATTTTTAAAAACTTATTCATCAAACGAACAATTACCAAAAATAATATTGATGTAGAAGGAAATTATGGAGAATTTGGTGAATCTGGACATAAGCAATTCGAAGAGAAAGATGACAAAATAAACAGTAGCCAGACTTGGTTTTTAGGGGGTCCAAGTTTCTGAGGATTTGATAGTACAGAATACTCCACAAATAGTCCGGGATCTTCTTCCGGAAAATTTTGTAAATTTAGCGTCCATGAAACGTTTTCTAATAGTTCTATAGAATAAAAGGTTATTTTTAAATTATTACAATTTGAATTAAACTTTTCACAATCTAAGCTTAATTGATTATAATCAACAGCGCATCGGAATTTTTAATCATTTTTACGTAGTAAAAGTCAATAATAGAAAACATTAATTCATTCATTTAATCATTTAGAAGAAATTGTTATTAAAAAACCATTATTGGTAAATATTCCCGCGAAAAAGCACCCTATAGAATAACTTCACTTTGTTACAATTTGATTGAGTGGTTTCTATTTTTATTCTAATTGTCTTGTCTTATTTGGGTTGAAAACATGTATTACAAACGTCCAAAAATGTCAGGCAAGACAATTCAACTAAAACAACAATACAATAACTAACCACTAACCACACCAAATCATTTCCAATTTAGATCTTCAACTGGTAAGTTCCCCGATCCTTCAACAATTGATGAAGGACCAAATCCAAGACAACAATGGAGAACTGTCCAGAGGATGTCGCAGTTATTTTGGACGACATGACTAAAACAGTATCTACTAGAACTGAAAAAAATGGCAAAATGGCACTAAAGATAAGAAGATCTAAAAGAAGGTGACGTGGTAGACAAAAACAACCTAGCTCCAAAGACGTGGAGGGTACCCTAACAGAGACTGTTCAAAGGACTGTATATTATTATTATTATTATTTTAATTTTTTTATCAAACTAATTAATATTTAAAATAATTATATACATTAATAGCTCCTAATGAACTATCTAGGAGACAAAACTCGAATAATATCTTTACCCATACTCGATATTACATTAAAAAGGACACCCAAATTCGCCACACACACTTGGCACTCACTCTTCGGTCTGCATTTTGTCTTTTACATCGGACAGGACTGGTTCTAGAAGAGTTAGAATAGAGACAAAGTTCGAGTCGTTGACGCCAAACGAAAACTAGGCTTTACAAGAGCCGTGCAGTGAAAATTTGTAATTTAGATGTGTGAAGAGGCTTCACAAAGGGGGAGAATATGTTGAAGTTGTTTACGACCTAGAGAATTAACTTTTGTATTAGATTTTTGTTGTCAGGAGTTAATTTTGAATTTATATACAGTCCATAATTTACAAACGTCTTACGAGATGAACAAATTTTGTAATTTGTCGGTATTTAAGTGGGAATAATAGGTTTTTAATCACCAATTTTCTTCTGAATACTAAATTACATGAATGACTGTATATTTTCTTAGAAAAATAAAGATAGTTAGGTACTGATTGCTTCTAGGTAAATAGGATTAAAAATTCTTAGGTTGTTAGTCACTAATCATAAAAAATTATGCATTTGAAATCTACTTTATAATACATTTAAATCTGGTTTAATTTCATGCGCACATTTTTTTTTTTCTAATCAAAACAATCAATTCCTTACATTGAATAATTTAGTTTTTATCACAACCAAATAAGAAAAATCAATATTTATTACAATTTTACGGACCACTGACTTCCTCTATACCGGACGTTTTGAAAAATTGGTTGTCGTTTTGAAATGAATGTCTTCCTCTTCGCGAACGAAGGATCTATGTAAAAGCATTTTTAAAACGAAAGACTAGTTTTATTACAACAAATTAGCATCGAGAAATAGTAGACGAACGTAGGTGTGAATAATGATATACGATAATAAAAGAAAAAAAATCAAGGGCGACAAGATATTGACAACTGGAGCCGTGAGAAAGTGAAAATATCGATTATATTTTGTTTTTCAACAATTTTGCGTGTATGATTAAATATATTATTATTAACAGTAAAAACATGTTTTTACCTGGGCTGGGCATTGTTATTTCATTTAAACTAAATGCGACAAGTAAATATTTTGTTATGTAATGTTTTTCTCTGAATATGCAAAAATTGCTCGCATTGGTACAGGAATTTGTAATTGAGATTGTTACGCGTAGGAGTTTAATTTGAATAACAAGTTTTTTTTTGTAACGTAGCAATTACATTTTACGTATTATTCAGGCTTATTATTATTAATTAAAGAAGCAAATACAAAGCTTAGATTTGCCTAAGACTTGTCTCATTATCTTTTGGACAATGTTCAGACTCAATTTCCCCGTTTTCAAAAATCTTTCGACACATATTATTCTATTGGGCGAGCCAAATGGACGTTTAGGGGTATATAGATGTATTAAGAATTTTCGGTAAACATATTTGGGTATAAAGAAAGTCCAGCATCCAACTTTTTACCCAATTTCGGCCAACTTAGGAACTTATCAGCAAATTTTGCTTCTGCTTTGAAGTTCGTTTAGACAGTTGTCAATATCAGAGATGTAGAATCCATAGTTACCTAACACGCTTCCGACAAAAGATTCAAATCTTGTCTTGAGCGGTTGGTACCAAAATATGATGTATTCCAGTCTCCAGCAAATGAGTATAAGGTATACTCTCTTATTGTCCTATAAATCATTGCTTGGCCAACGTTTTGATCTTTGGGTAACTGCCTAACTTAACTAAAAAGTTTGTAGGACATTTATCAATAACAACACATGATTTGGTTTACTGCTTTCATGGCAAATTGTTCAGATATCAAAATTGGGTAGATCTTTCAAAGCAAACTTTTTCTCAAAACTCATCCCATATTTTTCCATTGATTTATAATCATTTCTTCTCTAAACCTGCCCGAACCACATAACCACAGTCTATTATGTCCAATATTACATCTGGAATAATATCTATTCTGTAGTTAGTTTATTTTATTGTATCTATTAAATGATTTTCCTCTACTTAAGCCACCCAGCTGTTACTCATTAGATTGTTAAATTATCATGACTTATTCTTGAAAAATAAATTCGTCGATTGTATTTGAGAACTGGAATCGACGGTTCTATTTGAACCAAAACATCGATCGTAGGTTCATAATATAACAAAACTTAGAATTGATAGCAAACCAATTTGATTACGATTCAAAACTAATAAAGTAAACAAAATAAACAATTTTAACTTACTTGGTAACCCATTTAGCGCCAGCAAATTATCCGTGATCTATTCTCTTTCACAGCAAGTTTCACAAAGACCGACCTTCCCCCATTGAGACTGTTATTTATCTAGTTATATAATAGTTATTTACTAACTATCCGTTTAATTTAAGTATTTTTAATCGAAAAGTTGGGTAATTAAGCAAAAACGCATTACAGATTGACGTCAATCCAAAGAAAGTTACATTACGAATTTTATAATCCGAGAAATTCGGTTATTTTGGGAATCATATACAATTCCGTTATTAGCTTTATTAAAAACCCATTTTCTATCAAGCAATGTGCAATATTCAAACGATTTTATATTATAAAAATTTCGATGAGAAACCAAGATTAATTTATATACCTACCATAAAATTTTTAGTGATGATAAAAGTCGTTAGAATTTCGATTAGATTAAGTAGACTATAAAATAAAGTTTCATCTGAATCAGATAAATCGCCTTAATTTAAAAAAAAATGAGCAAAAAAAAAATTAATATCGTCTGCCGTTGAAATATAACAAAATATTATTGTGTTTATACAATTTTTTCCACAACTGTTAAATAATAAGTTTGTTATTATATGATTGTTTACAAGTATTATTAATCATTACTTACATGTATTGAATAATAATTCATTATACAACAGTTTGTAACCAATCGGAAAGTAGAATTTTGATTCCTATGACTTAATCAAACGAAAATAATAAAAATTAAACTTAAATTTTTTAACCTTATTCTTTTTCTTATTCTAGTTTCTATGGTCCCTTGCCTAGATAAGGCATACGGCCAGTTTGAATCTATTCGCTTCCCAAGTAGCACCGAACGGTTTTATTCAGTACTTCAAGGATGCTTTAAAATTGTAAAATAAAACTGCAATTAAAACCAATTAGTTTTAAAAGGAGCCTTAAGGTTGTAATAAATACGCCTTCAGCATAAAAGGGCCTACTCTGAAAGAGGTCAATAAAACCAAAAATAAAAACCACCATAAAACTATATTACCTTGAACAACTGATTTTAAAGCTGCTGTGAAGACCCTTTTAAATACATTTTAAAAACACGCGGTTAATAATTTTCAGTTCTTCTAATTATTGTAGGTCCACCTCTATTTGACATGATACAAAATGCGGGGTTCACTTGGGCCACGTAAAAATAAGGGATGAGTTTAATTTTATTGTTTCACAAGAAGTACAGTTAATCATTACGATAACCAAATTGATTTAGTTAAGAACGTTCCGTTTTAATATAGCTATCTAATTGCATTTAAGAAAGCCGTTATAAGGAAAAGTAATGAAATAGTTTTGAAACGAAATATTTACTGACCAAATTGTCCTAAGATCAAACAGATTTAATAATAGGTTTTATTAGTTACATTAAGAATCTCCTTAAAACTACTTAAAAACTAAAACGTCACAATCTAGAACATAATAAAACCAAACAACCTGCAAGTCCTTCATAAAACAATAGTTTTAAAGTTAATTGAAACTAAACCATTTTAAAACTACAACAAGACATACAAACTTTTAGATTAATTGCCCTTATTAATTAGATACTTTAAAAACAGTATTAAATGCTAAACGGCTCTTAAGTGCCCGCAGTATATCTACAAGGTAACTTTAAAATCAGTATCTTCTTATTTACCACATTAAAACTGAAATAAAACCAAAATGTTTTTATGGTGCTACTTGGGTTTGTATGTAAATACTTGGCTTGATTTAATTTAATGAAATTATATGAATTGTAGAAAAATTAAAGTAAATATTTAGGTATATGGGAATTTCGTTCAAGTAATCTTTCTCTTTTCACAAAAAAATATGTAAATGTAGATACAGTGTGTGCCATAAAGTTCGATTTATATGGGGATTGCATAATTTTAATATTCCTAACAAATAACCATACTGTCGAATATTATTAATAAAAAATGGAATTGTTGTTTATCAAAAAATGTCAAACATTAAAATTTTCTCATATTTGTTTAAAAAAAAGCCTATTTTTGACCGATTTTTAAAAAAAAAAATGCGATTTTGATATATAGGTAACTAACGTCAGTAGCCAACTTTGATATGGGATGATATTTTAAGTTTTTTTACGAAGTCTTTTCCAATAGTAATATTAAAAAAAAAAACCTATATGTATCTAACTTTATGGCACACACTATATTTATATTTATATAGTAAGAAAAAACACTTACGATGGCTAAAAATTTGAGCAACGACATGTCATCTTCGGTCCTATCTTTTGAATTAATGGCTAACTTGGAACCGTCGAGTCCGTTCTTCGATTCGGCCGCTTTGAGGTTAGACTTGATCCGCCATCTTTTGAACGCATTGTGCGGCGAGGGAGACCTTACGGTTTTCCCGCGTTTTTTCCACAGGTCTGCAACTTCTATGTCCTTATCGCTAGACTGTAAAGAAAAATAAGGTCAAATTAAAAAATATATACAACGAAAACTATATATTATTGGTCAGATTGAGAGATATACAGTATGTCCCCCTAGGTTGGAATCATATGGAAAACTTTTTTATTATTAATTTTAGGAAAAACAGTTATTCTTCATGAAAAGTATTGCATTATCTAAAACCTAGAATACAGTCATCAAATATCAATTTTTTTCAGTGGTATACGAGGTTTGTACAAAAATATGAGTTTTATTCAAGAGTAAAGTACCTTTATTCTTTATACGACTGATAAAATTTAATATTTGATAGTTGTATTTTAGGTTTTAGACCATGCTTGACTTTTTATAAAGAATAACTTTTTTCCCAATATTAATAATTAAAAAGATTTTCATATGCCGCCAATTTACGTAGACAGTTGGTGGCATAGGAAAGCTTTTTTATTACTAATTTTAGGAAAAAAAGTTGTTCTTGCATGGACTAAAACCTAAAATACAACCATCAAATATCAAATTTTATCAGTCGTATAAAGAATAAAGGTATCTTACTCTTGAGTAAAACTCATATTTTTTGACAAACCTCGTATACCACTGAAAAAACTTGACATTTGATGACTGCATTCTAGGTTTTAGATAATGCAGAACTTTTTATGAAGAATAACTTTTTATCCTAAAATTAATAATAAAGAAGTTTTCCATATGATTCCAACCTAGCGGGAAATACTGTATAACAATCAGTATTATAGAACATATTAAACTTGGAAATTAATCAATTCATTTTGTTCGTACTGTACACGCATTGTCAATGTGATAAAAATCGCGGGGAAGTAAAAATACGAGGATGCGAGGGACATCTAGTATTTTTTCCTTATTATCTTTGTTTCTTTCTCATAAAACAAATGTAGCGAAAGCAAGAATAGGCTGCGATTTCGAAAAGTCCATAGTATCGCAGGGCCGTGTTTTACGCAAAAGTTGTGTCACGTTTGTCATACAAAATAGACTAATAGTAACCATTGACGTGCGTTCGAATCGGATTTGGAAAACAGATATATCGAACGCAAAAAAATGTCGAGGTCGATATCTCACTACTCGATGAGACTTACAAACACTGTTCAGCATTCCGATCGAGCTTAATATTTTAATTAGAGACGAGTAATTGTGGAATTATTCTAATAAGGTAATTAAAGTAATTGAATTAGATCTGATTTCTTGCATTCTTAAAAAATATAGCTAAGATTTGTTTGGGGTATCTTCCGCTTATTCACGGTTTTAGATTTCCTTTCGAAAAGTGCGTTATGATGTAATTGTATTTATCTTTTATGTTCTATGAATTGTTCCGTTGGACTTTCACCACTTTGACCTATATACATTTCCTTTAGATCTAACCCGATTGAATGTCGGCGCCAGTTATTGTGAAATTTAAACGGATGGCTTTATTTACGGTTATACTTAGAATTGATAATACTTAGATTGTCGGTAATATTTCTCGGAATTGGGAATTTCTCAAAAATACGAAGTCCCAAGTCCAAGTTGTTTCATTATAAATATGTATGTTAAATTCTACATACGCAAGTTCAATTTGATAAAAGAATACAATTATTTTCTTATTGTTTATTACAATTAAAATTTGTTGTGGTTATTGGTTATAAAAATTAATTTTAATGATGTTAATCTAGTTTTGATCTCAAGTTTTATTTATTAATAATAATAATTTTATTAAATTTATTAATAATATTGAATTTTACAATGATTATATTAAAGGTTTTAAATTAAAAATATCAAACAATAATATAAAATAAATTTACAGAACTAATTAATTAATTACACCTACGGCACTTAGGCCTCACTAGGTCCTATTGCGCTATTGTGATAGGCCTCTCTTAGATCGTCAGCTAGCCTACAGATCTAATGTAGTTGACAACGTCGCCAAGAGGTACTTCTCTTGTATCGGCCGAACACAAACCTTCTAATAAATGAGAGCGTCGAGCAATCGTAGAGGCTATGCTCGGTAGACTCAACTTAATTCTCACAGCCTGCAGAGTGTGAATACTGACAGCCTCTTGCTATGGAGATTCTTTATTACTTGGCATTGACCAGTCAGAATGCCTGTAATCAAGCACATATTTTGTGTATTCGTATTTGTTTGCTGTAGTGTTATCAGGGTAAGTGGTAACTCTGTAGCTTCTTGTTTCATCCCACCATTCCTTGAATTTCGCAAAGGAATGTCATTTAATTAGGTTTATCACTACCGATGTTGTCAGTCCAATGTTGGAAGTCTAGGTTCAATAAGAAGTATTTGCTTTCTTGGCTAGTAAATCACCAAGACGATTACTTTTCGATGTGGCGTGACCTTTGATCCATCTTAAGATGACCACGTCCTTGTTAGATTCTTCGGCCAAAGCTTCGCGACATTCTAAAATTATCCCTGAGTAAACTGGTGGTCTGTCCAGGGTCCTGAGTGAGTAGTGCTTGCCTGCTATCTGTATAGGGGAGCATGTTCCTTCCAGTGATATTATTTCTAGTAATTTCTTTTGCCTTGTTAGATTCTTCGGCCAAAGCTTCGCGACATTCTAAAACTATCCCTGAGTAAATTGGTTTTCTGTCCAGGGTCCAGAGTGAGTAGTGCTTGCCTGCTATCTGTATAGAGGAGCATGTTCCTTCCAGTGATATTATTTCTAGTAATTTCTTTTGCTGCTGACACTATTGCTCACAGCCCATTTTATGTGTAAGTTTAAGGATCTGGACTCGGATCTGGAGTATATTTCAAATCCTGAGCCTTGTTTTCTTTTTGAACCGTCGGTGTAGATATGAATCGTAACTGCCACTACCGACTCTTCTATTTGTTCTGGTATAACTTTAATATGGCTTATTATTACATACTTCAAAAGTTAATTTTACATTAAAAATAATGTAATTATAATGAAAAGTAGTCCGTTTCCATCTCGGTTTCCATTTGATAAAATTTGGTTACGGTGAATTTAAAAGAGGAGATTTTTAAAAAACACCGTAAAACGCGTAATTTCTGTGTCACTGAAGCAAAACTTATAGCAAAATGGGCTACTTTTCATTGGGACACCCTATAGTTATACTTAGGTCTACTATAAATTCAATTTCCAATCCAGTACTTTACCTAAAGACGATCATTTCTAAAGAATTATTTAGATTACTCAATTATTTTATACATTTTCGATACAAAAAAAAAATTAAATAAAGTTGATTGAGTTAAAAATAAAGAATCACGCTTATATAATATAAAGGTACCATTTGGGAACGCGAGACCGAGGCAGACGACAGCACCAAATATTGCCGTGTTAAAAGTGGTGTCGCGTTTCTTTCATCGGTCGCGCTATCCCATTTAATTACTTGCGTTCAGACGTAAAGAGACCGTTTTCGGTCGTTTTACGCCGTCGCTTGCTGCTGTCTCCTGTCGCGGTCTCACCTTCCCAAAAGGTACTTTAAGACCAATTATTTACTTATAGTGATCCTCGAAAAAATGTTTTTAAAGTAGAACTAGTACAATTCTTCTTCTTTTTGTAAATATCAATTTGGATTTAATTCAAAACCGCGTGACATGACTCGTATATATCTCTATCTTTGTCGGTCATGGCGTGGATCACTGTTTAAAAAACATAAATAATAAAATTACGATCCAAAATAGACAATATTTTTCATCAAAATTTGGTTTGATGAGCTATTAATTTATATGGAAATTTATAATTCTTGACGTACTTTGAAATTCGTGACGTACCTAGATCTTGTTTTTTTTGTGGCGTCTTAACCTGTACAAGGTTGCGTCAAGAAGGCAGAAGTTCTGGTATATCTAGTTTTGTTGATAGATATTAAATATATGGTAAATGTCAAGCTAAAGATTAAATCAGTAAACAAAAATATTAAAAATTGAAAAATACGGCAGCTTCGTTTTCTTGTAATTTAAAAAAATTCAAGCAAAAAATGAAAGAGAAATATCAACAAAACAAAATACCAACTACACCTACATGATTCATTTGAATTACTGACATTGTTCAAGGCTCATTCTTACGTAATACTATATTCAATACTGGCTCTTTTACTCTTAAACAGCAAATAAAATAAACTAGTAAGTACCTTATTATTTATGTTACCTAAATCTATATCCGCTGATTCATTTACCTTGACACATATAATTTTAAAACGGTAAATGTACTTTTTGACAAAAATTGGTAGCCTCGATTCGAATGTTTATGTTTGTTTTTTTTTAAATGCTTTAAATCCTGACCCCTTCTTACCTTGACCGATATAGATCACAGATATCAGTCAATACTTCAAAATCAAAAATGTTAATATCTATAAACATATATTGCAGAATTGTATAACAATGGCGCAGTGCGCTAAAGCGTCTATTGTAATGTTAATAGGAGGTGATAATTTAGTAAAATTGAAGAAAACAGCGGAAACTTTTTTCGGTGTAGATAAATTACGTTAATGTATTAGTTAAGTAACTCACGAGATACTAGATTGTTAATATTAAGTGATATTATTAAATATATAAAAGATGTTTACTACTTTGTTATGTACAGTAATTTGAACTGTTTACTGGTTTAATAATATTTATTAGTACTTAATATAGAATGCTTGAAGCAAGAAGAAATTAATAAGTCAATAGGTTTAAATATCTATTAAATCACCAGCATCTTTAATGAAAAGCATGCTCTTTAAATGTAAAAAATTGGAGGTTAATGACCTCTGTATGTAACCTTCATTTGTTCAAGATCCAATATCTAATAGTACCGCAGTCTGTTTTACACCATTCGGTAAGTATTATTGATAAAAACCAAGAATATTCCAGCTTTCGTGATAATTTTAGGTATGCGGCAGTAATTTCCTTCATATAGGATATCATCATAGAAGATTAGTTTATTAAGAACGCAATATTCCGTTTAAATTCTTTATTATCAGTTTACAATTGTTTTTTTTCTGCTGTTAGACTGGAACAGTTCAAACTATGTCCTAAGGTGTTATATCTTTTGCGC